AAAAAAAAAAAAAAAAAAAAAAAACATATTTTTTCAAATTTAAAATATAGTTTTAACCTTATAAATTGATATTAAAATAAAATACATTTTATTTTATTTAATTGATTATTAATAAAATTAATAAATTTATCATAATTTTTTTTAAATATAATAGACAAAACTTTCTCCCCAAGTAAAAAGTTTTTTTTTTTTTTTTTTTTTTAATATCGAAAATACAATAATTTGAATATTAATGTGATGTGTTTCGTACGCCAAAAAGATGCCAAGCTTATCCCAAAACTGTTTTTTTGTCACGTACCCATTCAAAAGATAATCCAATCAGCATTTCCTTTTTTTTTTTTTTTAATTCCCAAAATTACTATTGGCTTTTAAATAAATAATATATATATTTAAAACGGGAAACATTTTTTAAAAATTAAATAAGAGAGTGATAGTCGTTCATCATTTGAATATTGCCATCTACTAGAACTAAAAACGATCGTTCTCGTAAGTGAATAAGATCAAGTTCATTAGGACATATTATCGTGTGTTAAGTTGAAGAGTTCGATCATATATTATTATATCGCGTGGATGAAATTTATATATATTATTATTATTAATATTATTTGTATTTTAAATGAGTTTACTGAGTTCAAAAATTAAATTAAATAAATAGGTAGCTAATGTGTTAGGTAGGAGGTGTTGCGTGACTTTGGTCTACAAATATTTTTAATTAAAGAAATTAATTAAAATAAAAAAGGAAAATAATTATATATTTGATATTTTGAAGGTTTGAATATTTCGAAAGAGAATCAAAGGCACATGGCCTTGCCTCTCATCCTTTGACCTTTTTGTATTTTCATTTTCCAGATATATTATTATTATTATTTTAAACCAAATAAAATTTATATGAAGAAAAATAATGGCTGAATAATTTATTAAATCTTAAATTTTAAAAATTATATTAATTTTTTTATTTTAAATATATACGCTATTTTTACATTTTTTTAAAAATATTTTAACGAGTTCGTACTGAACTAAAAAGTAACTATTTACTCGTTTTAAAATAGAGAGATTAATTTTAATGAATGAAAAAATAATAATAAAAAAGATTATATTATATGTCACACATGTCACGGTCCATTAGTCAGAGTCATTTTAAGGTCAATGTCAAACCGTTGCAAAGAAATTACAAATAAATAAATAAAATATTATTATATAGTTTTATTTTATCAATTAAAAAAAAGTTAGATATTTATATTTTCTATATTTTAAAATAATATATATATTTTTTTAAAGGACTAAATAATTATTTTTATAAAAAGTGGCAGGATCAAAATAAATTAAAAATAAAAAAAGATATAGGAATTTAAAAAAAAAAAAAAATTGATTCGAAAGTCTGACCAAGTAAACGGTGTCGTTGCGGTCTATTCTATTGCTTTCAGTGGGCCCTAAAACGCACCGTATTGATTGATTGTTTTATTGTTTTTGTATTTTGTATTTTATTATTTAATATTATTTGCTTACTACTGGCTTCCTCTTCCTCAAAAATATTATTTTTCAGGTCTTTATTAGATTGCAATCCAAACCAATTCGTCAAGATTCTTTCTAAAATACATTTTAAAATTTTTATAATATGATCGTCTACACGTTAATACAAACGTAAGATTTAGAAAGATTTGTGGTATATAAGTACTGTCAAAATCTCGATTGACTTAAAAAAAACATTTAAGGTAAAAATAAATTTACGTGTTTATAAGACAAGTGGAATCGATCGTGTTGTACCATTATAAAGCTCTTGATAATGTTCTCACAATAGAGAAAGTCGAGATGTAATATTTATTAGCTTATGTTTTCAAATAGTTTATTAGGTATCCATTACGAGATAAAGTAACTAAGAAAGGTTTAAAAATTTGAAAGTCACTATCTATACCAACGATATGTATTTTGTTTTTTTTGTGTCTCAATCACAGTAATTATATGGTTAAACGTAATTTACTTGGAGCATTGTACGTTGGATGACCTCGTAAAATTTTTACTAGAACACACATGAGTGAGAACAAAAGATGTTAAAATGACTCGGGTTGGTATGTTGGAATAGCCTTCACTTTTAAGAAACGAGGAATATCGAGGCTATGAGGTACTAGATTTGGATTCTAAATCTTGGGTTTAGATCGTCTGCTTTCAATAAATCATAAATTTAACCTTTATAAATTTTTTTATAAATTTTAATTTATGTATTTTCAATAAATTTTAAATGTAGTTTGGCCTTAATATTATTTTTTTTTATATAAATAATAATAATAATAATTTTTTAGAAAAAATTAAACAAGAAACTAAAAATTATTGTAGGCCGTTAATTCTTTTAAAAAAAGTCAACAAAAAATGGTCAAACTTGCGGGCTGTACTTGATTGTACAGTCTCAGCCTTTTCTTCTTTGACGGATTGGGACCTCCACGGTTCCACGTCACCCATGACTTTCAACTTCCTCCGTCACCGCCTACTCACCTTACGCCACGTGTTTCTTTTCTTTAGGTAGGAACTATCCTCTGTGGTCATTCTCATTATTGCTGTCTGCACCTCCGTCGTCACTGCTTACGTAAGAAAGAGAAATTAAGACTTGTCGTAATGACTGGTGAATTTATTATTTATAGGTTTTCCTTTTTTTAAAAAAATATAAAAAAATAAAGAATACAAAAATGTCATGTGGGTCCATTTGATAAGATTACGTGTCTACTAAACGTTTTGTCTGTCGTTGTCGAGCTGTCACCTCACCCCAAATAACGGAGTTGCGAGTTTAGATTCGTGATGCCGTCATGCTTGCGTCTTTATTACGTCATTTTCAATTTTCTTTTCGGTTTTATTAGCAAAAAAAGATTTAATATTTAACTGTTTTTAAGCGGTGAAGAAAAAAAAGGTGACTTTTTGTCTTTCTATTTATAACAATTTATTTATTTTACTATAAAAAAAAAAATATAAAGATAAAACTTTTGACTTTAAGATTTAATTAAAAAAATTATCTTACACGACCCTTTTTTTAATTTTAAAATAACAAAAAATGGGTTCTTATTTTTTAGTGTTAAAAGACCAAAATACCCTCCAATATTCGAGAAACTATCCATCATTTTGAATGCATTTCAACAAAAAGTGATGGGGTAAAATTGAAAAATCCCACTTTTGATTGAAGGTCAAAGCAAAAATTAAATATAGATAGGTGTTGATTTAATCATAATTATCAAAAGATGAACGCAATAATCGTAAAAATTAACAAAAATAACGATCTGATTGGTAATTGATTACACGTGTTAGCTCTTAATATATATATCGATATTTTAAAACAGACGTACGAACGTATCATAATTATTAATTCTACGATGGTTAGTTTACTTTGAAATTTGCCGAAGTTTTGAATGAGTTGTTGAGAAGGTTTACTCATAATGTCTATTATGACTTTGTATGCATTAGTTGACTATGAATTCCGTCCCATTAAACTTCATAATCTTGTTGACTTTGACTTTCATACAAGAGAATTGAATAACAATCTCTCTCTATCTGTGTATATCTCTAAGTAATAATGGTTATTGGCGTCTCTAAAAGCTTTGATGTTGAATGAAGCCATGCTAAACAACATTGTCGCGGTCTAGTTAACAAGGCTAGGTGGCCTTGTCCTCTTGTCATCGATGAATCGTTGGCTTTTTGTTCAATTTCAACCTCGGTTATTAAATGAAACAGTGATGGGTACTTGAAATTTAGCAACGATAATCAAAATGATGAACATTCGAGCTTGATCTCACACGCACGTATCACACGTTTTTCCCGTTCCAGAAACAAATAAGAACTAATGATTCAACATAACTGTTATTTGAACTATTTTTGGGAACATATTCTGCAAGAAATGGTCAATTATTATCAAAGATTGACCAAAATGCTTATTGAAGGTAATACAAATTCATCCATACAATCCCATGAAAACTGAAGCTTTTACCTATTATCGTGTAATGATCTCTCTGTGAGCTTTGAAGGAGAGGATAACATTCCATGCCAAGGCTATGACATTGGCTGCAAGGACCTGAAACTCGTTTTGCATATACGAAGTTTTAGAGCTACATCGTACTGGGTTTATACAGATAGTTATGCCATTTTTCTTTTGATTTGGAAGACGGGTGTGTTTGAATGACATGGTTTTTAGTATGTACGTATCGAAAAATTTAACGATGGTTCTCATCATGGTTTCCGATTTCTTAATCATTTGTAAAAGTAATATAAGTAATATGAAGACAGTCAGTGTGGGAGGGGCCAGGAGGTCTTGGTTGAAGATGGTAAGCATGGCCAAATCCACTCTTAAAGATTGTCCATTGAACATGGGTAGTATTAGCATACTTCCACTAATCCGGCATTAATCCGATGAACCTATCAGTTATTACCTAACCTTTTAACATTTCGTGTCGTGGATCTCATGAAACACTTGACATCCTTTGTATATGTAACGGACTAAGTCCACTCTTAGTAGATATTGTTCTCTATGGACTTTTCCTTTCGGACTTCCCCTCAAGGTTTTTTTAAAATGTGTCTGTTAGTGAGAGGTTTCCACACCTTTATAAAGACTCTCCAACCGATGTGGGATCTCACAATCCATCATCGGGACTTTGGTACCATTTGTAACAGCCTAAACCCACGGTTAGCAACTATTGTCCTTTTTGGGCTTTCCCTTAAATTTTTTTTAAAACTCGTCAGCTAGAGAGAGGTTTCCACACTTTTATAAAGAATGCTTCGTTTCCCTCTCCAACCAACGTGAGATCTTACAATCCACCCCCTTTTGGGGCCCTGGTACCATTTGTAACAGTCAAGCCCACCGCTAGCCCTCTTCGAGCTTTTTCCTTTTGGGCTTCCCCTCAAGGTTTTTTTGAAACGCGTCTGCTGGGGAGAGGTTCCCACACCCTTATAAAGAATGTTTCATTCTCCTCTCCAACCGATGTGAGATCTCACAATCCACCCCCGTTGGGGGCCTAACGTCCTCGCTGACACATCGCCCGGTGTCTAGCTCCAATACCATTTGTAATAGCCTCGCCCACCGCTAGCAGATATTGTCCTCTTTGGACTATCCGCTTCGGGCTTCTCCTTAAGGTTTTTTTAAAACGCGTCTGCTAGAGAGAGGTTCCCACACCCTTAATAAAGAATGCTTCATTCTCTTCTCCAACCGATGTAAGATCTCACAATCCACCCCTGTTGGTGGCCTAGCGTACTCGCTGACACATCGCCCGGTGTCTAGCTCCAATACCATTTGTAAGAGCCTTGCCCACCACTAGCAGATATTGTCCTCTTTGGACTATCCGCTTCGAGCTTCTCCTCGAGGTTTTTTTAAAACGCGTCTGCTAGGGAGAGGTTTCCACACCCTTATAAAGAATGCTTCATTCTCCTCTCTAACCGACATGAGATCTTACAATCCACCCCTGTTGGGGGCCTAGCGTCCTCGCTGGCACATCGCCCGGTGTCTAACTCTAATACCATTTGTAACTGCCCTAACCTACCACTAGTAGATATTGCCCTCTTTGGGCTTTCCTTTTCGAGGTTCCCCTCAAGGTTTTTAAAACACGTCTGATAGGGAGAGGTTTCCACACCCTTATAAGGACAACTTCGTTCCCCTCTCCAACTAACGCGGAATCTCACAACTACTCTAACTATGGTTCACGATGATTAAATTAACAAGATGGTGTATTCTGATTCAGTCAGAGAAACCAGCATCATTCCATTCATTCAGTGATATCATTCAACAAGAACAGAAACTACTACTTGAAAGATTAACTAGATCATATGGTATATAAAAACAGGACACAATTGGAGTAAGGCATACCTGGAATTGCTGGGGAACAAATCTGAAGTTGAGAAACTGGAAAGGTATCCAAAGTTTCCAATTAGCCACAACAGAAGAAAACCACTCCTACAAACCAAAAGAGTCCAAAACAAGTTAGAGAAGAAAACTAAATAAAGGGGAGCGGAAGATGTTTGAATGGCACCTGTTGAAGCTTAGGAACAATACAAGATGGCCGCCCTTCTAGAGTTACTAATCCAGCTAGAAAGACTCCAAGGAACATCGGAGTAAAGATGAACTGGAATTGTTAACATTACATTCAGAAACAGTACTTCAGGTTAAATTACTTAGTAAGAAGGTGTAATAGCTACAAAGATATGAATTACCTGATCAAGAAGAAGGCTCAAGAATGCACCTGAAGCCCCAGGCAAGGTCACCAATTGACTAAGATACAAGTACCTACACGTATCGATGCATTAAACACGTATCTGAAAGGGTGTAAGAATATAAAAAGGATTACAGGTGAGATCCCACGTTGGTTGGGGAGGAGAATGAAACATTTTTTATAAGAGTGTGGAAACCTCTCCCTAGTAGATGCGTTTTAAAAAACCTTGAGGGGAAGCTTGAAAGGGAAAGCTCAAAAAGGACAATATTTACTAGCGATGGTTGAGCTTGAGCTGTTACAAATGGTATTAGAGCTAAACACCGGAAGATGTACTAGGGAGCAGGCTGAGGCTCAAAGGGGGTGGACACGAGGCGGTGTGCCAACAAGGATGCTGGCCCCCGAAGGGAGTGGATTGGAGGATTCCACATCGATTAGAAAAGGAAATGAGTGTCAACGAGGACGTTGGGCCCTGAAGGGGGGGTGAGATTGGGTGATCCCACTTCAGTTGGGGAGAAGAATGAAACATTGTTTATAAGGGTGTGGAAACCTCTCCCTAGCAGACGCGTTTTAAAAAACCTTGAGGGGAAGCTTGAAAGGGAAAGCCCCAAAAGGACAATATTTATTAGTGGTGAGTGAGCTTGGGCTGTTACAAATGAAATCAGAGCCAGACACCGGGAGATATACCAGCGAGCAGACTGAGTCTCAAAGGGGTGGACACGAGGCGGTGTGCCAACAAGGATGCTGGCCTCTGAAGGAAGTGGATTGGGGGGTCCCACATCAATTGGAGAAGGGAATGAGTGTCAACGAGGACGTTAGGCCCTGAAGGAGGGTGAGATTGGGTGATCCCACTTCGGTTGGTGAGGAAAACGAAACATTCTTTATAAGGGTGTGGAAACTTTTCCCTAGTAGATGCATTTTAAAAACTTTGAGGGGAAGCTCGAAAGGGAAAGCCCAAAAAGGACAATATTTGCTAACGGTGGGCGGGCCTGGGCTGTTACATTACAATTCATCTCGAGTTTCGGATCGATGCATGGCATGTCTATGAGAATCATCAACAATAAGAGATTGATTTTAATAGGTAACTTCAAATGAGTCTTCATTTGTAATCACGTATCAAATAACTTTAACCTTATAAGAAAGGAGGGAAGGAGTGTTTTGAAGGAATACCAGAAATGTAATGCAGGACCGACTAACGCGAGCCCCAAAAGAGAAAATCGGAACGTTCTTCTCAGATCTGCTGACGACGCTTCTTCAAAAACAAGCTATACCAAGATGTTAAAAACTTAGTTCAATAGTTCTTACAACAAAAACAAATTATGACGCAGCTGTGGCACAAGGATGAAACATCTGAATATAAACACTACTCCACGCATAAACACTACCATCTAATGCATCCTCAACCTGGCCAAAACCAAAAGGACTCCAATATCTCATAAACACTACTCCACACAAGGAGCTCTCTGTCAAAAGCTCACTTGGCCCGTTACGTATCACCGTTAGCTTCATGATTTTAAAACGTGTTTGCTAGAGAGAGGTTTCCACACTCTTATAAGGAATGCTTCGTTCCCTCTCCAACTGATGTGGGATCTCACAATTCACCTCCCTTGGGGACTCAACGTCCTTGCTGGCACACCGCCCGGTGTTTTATCAAAGTTCACAGATTTCTAGAAAAACATATTAGAAGGAAAACCTGGCAAATTAAATCTCCCAGAGCATTCAGAATCCCAGATGTTACAGATTTCACCAAAACAGGGTATTTTGCAAGAACAGTCAAATACCTGAAATAATACAGAACCAAATTACAATGACAATAAAAGAAATAAGGGAGACTTGTTTCTGATTCAATCTTCTATACACTTTGGCACTAGATTACAAAGGAAGCATAGTGAAATCAGCTGTTATAACACCAAAAAGACACTATTTTTGTCGTAGGAGAGAGAAATACGTATAAACAAGCACGAGTTGTAATAGCTCAAGTCCACTACTAGTAGATATTGTCCTCTTTCAACTTTTCCTTTTGGAATTCTCGAGATTTTTAAAATGCATCTGGTAGAGAGAGGTTTTCACATCCTGATAAAGAATGCTTCGTTCCCCTCTTAACCGATGTGAGATTTCGAAGATGATGAAGAGAAGCAACCAAAAGAGGAGGATAAATTGGATGCATAGGAGAACTTTGAAGGTGGTCAAACAGTTGTTGAACTTGATCAAGAAGATCATCTCAAAACGAGGATTTATGACTAACTAACAAAAGAGAGAGTTGTTAGGAATTATGACTCTCCAAGATGGTATGGTATTGTCTACTTTGAGCATAAGCTCTCGTGGCTTTGCTTTGGGCTTCCCCAAAAAGCTTCATACCAATGAAGATGTATTCCTTACTTATAAATCCATGATCAACTCCTTAACTAGCCGATGTGAGACTTTTCTTCCAACCATCCTCAACAATCCTCCCCTCGAACAAAGTACACCATAGAGCCTCCCCTGAGGCCTATGGAGCCCTCGAATAGCCTCCCTTCATCGAGACTCGACTCCTTCTCTAGTGCCCTCAAACAAAGTATACCCTTTGTTGACATTTTAGTCCTTTTAACTAAACCCTCGAGGCTCACAACTTATTTCGTCGACATTTGAGAAGTCTATTGACATGACCAACTTAAAGGCATGACTATGATACTATTTTAGAAACCATGACTCTTATTGTCCACTTTGAGCATAAGCTCTTGTAGTTTTGCTTTTGGTTTCTCCAAAGGCCTCGTACCCACTTTGAGCATAAACTCTTGTAGTTTTGAGAAGGCCTTATTAAGGGAGGTGGGACTTCTCTCCCAACAATCCTAGACAAGATTGACTATAGTGAGATGCATTACCAAGACAAGAAGGGCCAGTTAACCCCGCCTTTGCCGCTATCCCCTTCACCGCCTCCAGAATTTTCACCACCAGAACCTCCAAATCCACCATCGCCACCTCCAGAGCCAAAGCCATCGCCAGAGCCATCGCCAGAGGATGCTGAAATCCGGAAATCCGTAAACATCCGCGACCCACATTGCATTTGACGCCGACCCACATCCTTAAACTTCAATATATGGGTATGGCGGGAAGAACAAGCACAAGCCGTCTTCATTCGAAGTGGGGTTTCAAGATTTGGAGCTTGGAGGCCGAAACCGAAGGTGGGTCGGCCATTAAAGCTGAAAAGAGTACAAAGGGTAGGAGGTTTCAGAGAAGGAGAGACGCCACAGGGAACCATCTTTGAGCGTGTGAAGCAGATCTCAGCAATGGGTTTCGAAAAGTTAATCGATTTCGTTTGCTTGTGTTGCTGCAGACGATAACCAAGCAGCAAATTCTCACAGCGGCCAATGCAGAAGATAGGACTGTTCACCGTACATCTGTGTTTTGTTCCTTTCCCTTCTTTTCTTCAAATTTCCCCTTTTGGAAATATTTTTTAAGTGTTTTATTTTTTTTAAAAAAATTAAAATTATAAATTAAAATTTCCCCTCTATATAATAACATTTTATGTTTTATAATTTTTTTAAGAAAAAAAGAATTTCAAAAGAATTTGTTTTACAATAATTATTAATATAAATTTATATTTTCTACCCGAGCGAAGAAAATAGTCGATAATCTAAAAGAAAACATGTATAAAATAACATGTCACTCTCAAGTAAGTCAGTCAACTAAAAATTGAGTCATCGTTGATACGGACGACATATGCTCGAGGCCCAACCCTGTTTCTCAACAAATATGTCGGCAAACGGAGATAGAAAGATAGAAATATTTTAAAAGAGGTTTGAAAATTAATATTAATAATAATAGTAATTGGTAGCAAATTAAAATATATATTTATATATATATATATATTTTAAAAATAAAATCTAAACCCTATTTTCAAACATCTCATCAATCTTTAAAAGGATCTCCATTGGAAAATCCGACTACGGACCCGAACCAGTGGGCGGGAAAATCCGGTGCTCAAACAATCCAAGAACTTCGCCGGAATCAAATTCAGTTCTCGAGCTGAATTGGGCAGAAATTCAGTCATTTGATCCATTTAGGGCTTTTAAGTTTCCTCATAATGCCTTCATTTCCTCCTCCTGGGTCTGTTACCATCTGCGAAATCAATCGCGACCTCAGTTAGTATCGAATTCTTACTTTGCTTCTCATGTATATAGTTCCAGTGTTCTACTTTTTATGATATTGAGCATCTGTTTTGTGAATTTCTTACTATTCAGTTACTGCTGATCGAATCTCCGATGATCTAGCGAACGACACTTATGGGAAAGTCCTTGTGAGTAATGATAGTTGAAATTTATTGTTGATGTTAGCGTTCTCTTCAGGCGCGATGTTTTTTGTTTATTGAATTTGTGGATGTGGCGTTTAACAGGGTATGGTGTTTAGTCCTGTTCCATTTCAGTCCGATTTTTTGGTGTCGCCGAATCCTGAACCGAACAATGAGGCTAGAAACGATGAAGCAAATGGGGAAAGTATCCAAAGGAAGAGTGTGATTGCATCTTTGCAGGGATTCCTCGAGGACTCCATCAAGCGTTTTTTACGTCCTAATGATGTAAGTTTAATAATTGTTAATAGCTAATCGTGTGGTTCAGAATCATTTCTAAATGCCGGTACAGTTCAGAAGAACTGTGTGTAGTTTTGTTCCATCCTTTTTTATTTTTTGTTTACAAGAGATCAGTCTTAAATGTTTTCTCTTAACAAATGAAAATATTCCATTTCATCTAAACAAAGAAAATTTTGGCTCAAAAAAGAAGAATTTGATTGTCTACATGAAATTAGTTTGCTAACCCAACTTCATAACAATAACAATCCTTCAATATCATTTTGTGTAAGGCATTCTGAAATCCTAGATCTTGTTCAATATAATTCATACCTAAGGCACTATAACACGATAAATTGTTAGGTTAGGAAATATTTGTAAGCATTTCCGCACGGACAACTTCGTTGCACTTAGGGACACATAGAGAAAAAATTGCTAGGCAATTTAATTTTAGTTTGCTATTACATTTTAATTGTTGTATCCTACTCCTACTGGCGTACCCTATATATATTGGCAACAAGGAAACATTTTGAAGTTCATGGTGCCTTTAAGTTTTTACTTAGAAATGATTGTTGGGGTTCAATAAATTCGAATACAGAAGATATGAAATTTAAAATGGTGTCTTTAAATTACACATCCATTGTAATTTTTAGGAAGTTCATCATTTCTTTTTTTGCATGGATAAAAATGGTTGCTTTATGGAACTCTATTTACTTTGAAGTTCTGAAGTTGTTAAAAGATACATTGGAGTTTAGTAAATTGACTGCAACGTGCATTCCAAAAGTAAAGCACATGCTTTGTAACTTGTGAATGAAAGTTAAGCAACTTATGCTCACTGATCAATTTTATAGGTAAAATACTTACCAGCAGAATATCTTCAAGGAATGAGTTGGCACCAGCACAAGCATATTTTAGCATTCATATCTGGGACGAATCAAGTTGTTGTCCGTGATTTTGAAAATGCAGGTCATCGAATCTGATTCACCATATGACTTGGTTAAAGTTTTGTAATCTTTTTATTTGTATATAGAAGTAGCGTTGTTGTATTTGTACTGTTCATTTCATCTTAGAATTTGTTGTTCAATTTCTTTCAAATAATGCGAATGTATTTTATGTTCTGGACAGAAGGAAAAGACCCTTGCATTTTGACCCACGACTTGCAAAAGGATGTTAAAGTTCTTGAGTGGAGACCAAATGGCGGGAGGACCCTTTCGGTGGCATGCAAGTAAGTACCTTAGAGCTGCAATCTTATCATTTAAAATAAACACTATATATCTTAGAACTTTAGATGACAAAACTATTTCTCGCAAGAATGTTTACCATTAACTCAACTTGAGATTCTTGGACTGAATGTTCTTTCAGAGATGGAATTTGCATCTGGGCTGCTTCTTTCCCAGGAAATGCTGCTTCGGTGAGACCTGGTGCCGTGTCCTTTTTAGGATCATTCTCAAGAGGCTCTGGGGTTCGATATACCCTAGTTGATTTTCTTCGGACCCGTGATGAACAGATTAGTGCCCTGTCATGGAGTCCTGATGGAAGATATCCAAATAAATTAAAGAAATTTAGTCCTTTGCATGATAGTTGAATTGTTGGTTGGTGGCGGGTGTTTTTCCCTCTTCCTCTGCGGAAGAATCTGTCAAATAATTTTCTTTGATTATACTTGCTGATGATATTTGACTTTTGCTATATTTTTATGATTCTTTTTCTTTTATCTCCTCACTGAAGTATTTCAACCTGATACGAGAGATTTCCTTGACACATTGGCACATATCTAGCATCTGCATCTTATGAGAGCTCTTCTTTTACCATTTGGGATGTCTCTCAAGGTATGTTAAAGGCTAATCTTCTTAATTATGTTTGATGACTGGACGCTATTTTTCAAGAAGAATAATGCTAGGGATTCATTTCCTCCTATATCTCTGAATCTTTTCTATTCAAAGGGGTTAAAAAAACATAATTGTCCCAGGTAGCATATCTATGGAAAATGCTTCTTTAGTAATGTATCAACAATACTTGAATTGCCTGATTATTTAATTTGTTTCTAATCTTATTTACCAATTGATTAATTTATTTGTTTTTATTATTTTGAAGTTCTCTCCTGCCTCCCTCCCTCCTATGTTTCTTTAAGAACTTCTTTGACTCTTGAATGGTTCCAGGGTTAGGAACACCCATTAGGCGTGGATTAGGGTGTGTATCAACAATCAAGTGGTCACCTTCTGGAGATTACTTTTTTGCTGCAAAATTGTAAGTACTATCCAACTGTCTTGTGCATTTTGTTACATAATAATCAGCCAGGACTGTTGACCATTCATTTTGCAGGGATGGAACATTTTATCTTTGGGAAACGAACACATGGACATCTGAACAGTGGTCGACAACAAGTGGTTTTGTCACGGTACAAAGAAAAAACAATGATGTTTTATTTATTTTAACTTGTCCAGGGATGTTTCCCCTTCTCTCTTTGTCTCTGTCATTTTCTCTTGCTCGCCCCCTCTGTTTTGGTCTAGGAAAAAAATGCATAGTATCTACTTAAAATAATGTAATATAGATGGGCAGATGGAGGAGAAACTTCCAATGTACTTCGGTTTCTCATAAGGAAAATAGACAAGGATGTAGAAGAAATGCAACTCATACTCCACTTAATCCATGTACGCATATAGTAGTTGAAGCAAATAATAATATTGAATTCCATAGCTGGATAAGAATAAGGCTTTAACTATGCCAGATATGGCATCAGAAATCTCATTGTTTTTTTTCTCCTCTTTTTCCCCATTGTATAGGAGATAATACATCGTAGCTCGCCCCTTCTCTTAACCCTTCTCGTTATCAGTGTAAAGTAGTCAACAATTGTCCGGACATAGTATCTAGACATTGCATGAAAATTATTCTTTTATTTAGTTCACTTTTGTCAGTCAAGTTAAAATTTATAATTGTTAGCAATCTTTTTCTAGCCACCACTATAGTCTTTAACGGGTTAAAATTTTTACTTTGTATCCACTAAACAATGTCATGATTTCAGGGAGCAATATGGGATCCTGATGGACGTATGATACTACTTGCTTTCTCTGAGTCTTCAGTATTGGGTTCAATTCATTTTGCATCTAAGCCTCCGTCATTAGGTATGTGAATTGTCTTTACAATTGCTGGGTCTGCTAACAAGCGCTTATATCATCACTTGAAACTCTTTTCTCAGTTTTGATTCAGGTGCATTATGCAAGGTATTGAGTAATGTTTATTTAACTTAACGTCTTCACCTAATGTCTCTACAGGGACAATATTTTTATTGCCTATGTTGCCTGGTTAATGTGATGAATCTAGTTTTACTTTCTATTAAACTGCAAAATGTTCGCCAGCCATTAATGTGGATCTTCAGTTTTTACTCGTTTGTAGATCTGATGCATTCTCAATGATTTTTTTCTTCAGTTGCACATCTGCTAGCTGTTGACTTGCCAGAGATAACTACTTTGACGAACAGGTATAATATATGTTTCGTTTGTTAAACCGCCCATGACCAATATTGTTAACCATAAAATTTTGACAGCTGTGCATTATCCTTTCAGTCAGGGTATTGAGAAGATAGCATGGGATGCTTCAGGAGAGCGACTGGCTGTCTCTTTCAAGGATGGAGATGAATTATATAATGGCCTGATCGCAGTATATGATATTAAAAGGACTCCCCTGATTTGTCCATCATTGATGTAAGTTATTGACATTGTACTCCGACTCGAGTAAATTGGAAATTCAACTGACCTGTCTATGTAATTGTTTAATTTCTGTCCAGTGGCTTTATTAGAGGGCCTGGAGACAATCCAAAGCCAGCTGCATTTTCGTTCCATGGCAAGTTCAAGCAGGGACCTTTGCTTTCAGTGGTACGTTTAAAAAGAATCCCTTGGCTTTAATAAATGCTGGTATTGATATAATTGTGTTAGATCAAATATTGGTTGGAGAGGGGAACGAAGCATTCCTTATAAGGGCGTGGAAACCTCTTCTTAGCAGACGCGTTTTAAAACCTTGAAGCCCGAAAGGACAATATCTGCTAGCGGTGGACTTGGGTCAACCAATGGTATTAGAGCTAGTCACTGGACTGTGTGCCAGCGAGGACGCTGGACCCCAAGGGGGGTGGATTTTGAGATCCCACATTGGTTGGAGAGGGGAACGAAGCATTTCTTACAAGGGTGTGAAAACCTCTTCCTAGCAGATGTGTTTTAAAACCTTGAAGGGAAGCCCGGAAGGAAAAACCCAAAGAAAACAATATCTGTTAGTGGTGGGCTTGGGCGGTTAACAGTGTAAGAATACTGTTTTACTTTAATCTTTTTTCACTTAAAAATTTGTTACGATGTTCAAGCTCGATTCCGCTAATTGTGCAGTGTTGGAGCAGTGGATTTTGCTGTACCTATCCTCTCATATTCCGCTCTCATGTTGTTCCTTAGTGGTGGTTCTCTTGGAGCCCTAGTCTTGGTAGGAGATGCTGTATGGTGCTAAATTTCAAAGAGAAGAGGTTTTCTAATTCTTCTGTACAGTCTGTTGCTGCAAATCCTACGGTACCATCTTCAACTCTTGCTCTTGCTGTTGTTATTATCCAAAAGGAAAAAGAAAGAAAGAAAGAAAAGCTATCTGATAGGTTTGTTTGCATCAGAGTTTTGATGTCGGTGGATGTTCTGAAGAGGGTGGATTATGGAAATTATGTTCTTTCTATTGTTTCTCTTGAGCCAAATACCCCACAAATTCCATTGTTTTTCTGCTTTTGGTCCTCATATTTTTAGTTCTATCATAGTTAGCTAAGTTAGCTTAAACCTACCATTTTCATGTCGGATTTTATAGGTCAAAATTGATATAGAAATTACAGGGAAGATTTGTAGGTCGGTGGATTTACATTTTACTAGAGCATAGCATCCAGCCAAGATGGTCCTCACCATGAAAGACCCTCTCCCTTGCATGACTTTTTGTCCAACCCTTCATTTATTATTATGGCCATCTCGTTCTACACTAGCTTGAACACAACTGGGATTACCTCAACTTTCTCCAACATTTTTCTCTCCTTTTGTTCTATAAATGGCTTCCTTTTGACAAAAAGGAATGGAGATCTACCCCACCCGAAAGTTTAAATCGAACATTTGAGATCTTGTTGGATAATCATTTAGCTTTTGAAAACTATGCTTGTTTCTTCGAAGTTGTTTTTATTCTTCGATAATTGGTTTGGGTTTTGTAAATTAGAGGTGGAAGGAGTTCTCATAAATTTAATTATCAAAATTTTAAAATTAAATCTTTTTTGAACTTGCTTTAGCTCTCTAGAATCTAACTTATTATAAATATAGAATGTTTGAGAAGTTTTTCAAATCGCAATGCATGGACTTAATTGGAGTAACTTAGTGTTTGGTAGCTTAATTATGGCAAGATGAAGAGAACACTCAATCAAGCTAAATAATGTGTGTGATAAATCGTATGCTAAGGAAGAACTAAATTGAATGGTTGTATTTTCGTACCTAGTTGTTTCGAGAAATCTTAGTAGTTGATTCTTGGTATCATCATTCGTACCTAAACGTCTTATTTATTCGTGATTGGTTAACTGCTTTTCAAGATAACAAAACTGATAGAGAGAGTTTATTATGACACTTATCTATAATTACAATATTTAAATTTTCGAGTTAGATTATTTTTGTTTTTTTATTATAAAAATGTTAACGTACCTACTACTATATATAATATATATTTGACATAAATGAAAATCAAGAATAGGGACTTTCAACCTTTTGATATATTAATTGAATGGGCTCTATTATTAAGTTGTACCTTCCAACACATTGACATGGCTCATTAATTTGTTGTCACAAACACAATTCTTAATTATTTTAATTGGTTAAATGTTAATTTATAAATTATTCTATTTTATTTTAATTTTCAAGCTAAATGGATCTCTAAATTTAGCGTTATAAAATTTTGAGATAAGCTACGGATATATACATTAACTAATTGAATTGAGTCATGCTAATATTGTCAGCTTATTAATTCTTTTAATTTTTCATTAATGGTTATTACATCAGCAGTGTAATAATAATAATAATTCTAAATTCTTTGTCAATTTTTAAATTATTGAACCCAAAATAATTTCTTAAAGGTTTTAATTTCGGGTATTATAAACTTTTTAAAATTTAAAAATTTATTGTAGAAATGGGAAGTTCATAAATTTGTTGGATCATTTGGAGACCAAATAAATTTTAAATTAAATTTGTAATTTATTATTATTATTATATTTTCTTTTTCTTAAGGTCGACATTACATCGTTGCTTGGACATTATCCATCATCGTACAAAACCCTGTCTAAAGCGATTGAGATATTATACGACGTCGTTTAAATCTCCCCCACGCCGTGACGGAGCAATAGCACCACCAAAAAGCACCGCCTGCGACCTGCCTCGGCTCCCCAACCCAACTACTTTCAGCAGCCACCGCACCCATTCTTTCTCTCTCTCTCTCTCAAGTGGAAGCCATACCCATAATGGAAGAAGAACGAGCACTGAGACGCACTGCCAATGGCGGCACTCTCAATGATTCTGTTCTTCGCTATCCCACTGTCAGTACCACTTTTACAATCCCTTTAACTCGCTACACTACCCGTTTGATTACCTCCGGCCGCCACCGCCCCCTATTGGCTGATTGCGCCGACTCCCGATCCGACACAGAAGACCACGACGACGCTAACGATTTCAATCGCCGCTCCATTGTTAGGGAAAATTGCTTCTACTCTATGCCCATTTTAATTCTCGACGTCGTTTGGAATTTGGCCTTTGTTTTTGTCTCCATTGTTGTCCTCTTGTCCACGTTTCGAGAACGCCCTTCCACGCCTTTGCGCCTTTGGATTTCTGGATATGGCTTGCAATGTCTCCTGCATGTTGGGTTTGTCTTCTTTGAGTATCAGCGGAGCATGGCGCTCCACGGCTTTGAGGACCGTGCGTATCATCGCAGGTAGGAAGAACAGTGAAGACATTGTATGAATTATATCTAATGCATTCATTGACTGAATCATATGCGCAATTTTGAGATTTCCCCTTCCAATGCAGTAATCTAAGCACTATGTGTGCTTATGTCCTTCTGATCGCCTCCTGTAGGGTTCTCTTGGTGTTTGATTTCAGCCTTTGAATGAATAATAATGATGGAATTCAATCTGTTCTTCAATATGTTTGAAAAGCCAAATCTGCTCAACATTTGGCAAATTCGAACATATTAGCCACAGTGAATTGTATCTTCTTAAGAACAAATTCATGGGTTTTGAGCTTATTTTGTTTTCTTTTTCATGTTTCATTCAACGAACCAGCAATAACTTCATATCATTTTCTCACATTTAGTCTGGAACTTATTTGATGAACACAGAAGTATACAGATCTATGAGATAGAGCAACACAAGCTTTGGACTAATTTGTTTTGATCTTTGTCCTTCTAGCATAATGAAAAGGTTGGAGTCGATGAATACAATGACCTCGTCGGTTTGGTGGGTCTTCGGATTCTATTGGATTGTCATGGGTGGCCATGCACTTTTACAGGATTCTCCCCGGCTTTACTGGTAAGAACTTTGCCTCTTGACATGTTTCCTTTTGGAGAAATAGTTTCATATACCAAACTGCAACTTCCTATGTATTTTTTTCGATGTTCTGTTCTTCTTTTTGCTCGTTTTCGGAGTTCGTGTCCCTTTTGCATTAGTCTCTTTTCATTTATTCAACAAAAATTTTCGTTACTTGTTGAAAGTTGTTGCAAATGCAACCTCTAGGTGGGCTTTGAATAAATCTAGCATTTTCACACTGTTCAATCTGGACTTCTGGAGCTTTAAGTTATGATTTTTTTTAGATTAGGGGTTCTAGTAATATTTGCATATCGAACTAAGCTGATGAGTGTTGGATCTTGAACAATTACGAAACTAAGACGATTTAAGGTTTGCTAAATCCTTTTTCTCGATCCATCTGAAGCGTTGTCATCAAATGTCTTTTAGTTCCTTTGAGATCGTTGGTTTGAATTTGTAGCTTTAATTGCATTCACCCCGAGTAATCTAGCTTTGATTTGTAGTTGTATGGAACCATTTAATCTGATTTGGAACTTCGGTGCTGAATATTTTTCGTGTTAATTGCAGGTTAACCGTCGTCTTTCTAGCGTTTGACTTGTTCTTTATTCTCTTTTGTATTGGGATGGCATGTGTTGTTTTCTTCTCCCTTTGTTGCTGCATTCCTATTATAGCATTTGCATATGCCATGACTGCCAGAGAAGGTGCCTCAGAAGAGGTTATCAGGGCTCTTCCCAAGTACACATTTCGTCAGGCTGCGCTCGGGGCGTTTATCCATGGAAAAGAACGGGAACCAATTGGAGCAACAACAGAGTTAGATAACGATCACCTTATCAAAGAACTTGCTCTTCATCCAGAGGATTCGGTCAGCTACTTATCTTTTTATGTCAAACTATCAATATATATAAGCTAAATAGTGGATTGTTATAATTCTATAGCATCATTATTTTCTCCTGGGGAAAGTTCCTTGTGGATGGCCACTCCAAAATTTTGTAGTATTTTGCTTCTGCTCGTATTTAGATTGAAAAGTGTAGAATTTGAATTCTTGAGCCTTGAAAGATCTATGAATTTTATAAAAAGGGTCAATCTGGGTTGAATAATTAGGACTCTTGGTCTTGTTTAAATAACTCAATTTCATGACCTGCTTAACTGCAAACACGATCGACTGTTCTTGCTTATAGAAACAAGTACGTATAACGATACGGTCCTTCACACAAGCAGATTACAATATCACAATAGTTAGTGATTCTACGACAGCTTTTAGTTTTGCTCATCACTTACTGTGATGTTCATCTTGTAATTTCTTTGAAGCTGAGTATATGAAGATTTACTTTTTTATAGGAATGTTGCATTTGCCTTTCGCAATATGAAGACGGGACGGAGCTCTATACTCTTCCCTGCAACCACCATTTTCATTGTGGGTGCATCGGCAAATGGCTTCGAATAAATGCAACCTGTCCACTCTGCAAATCTAGTATCTGTCGGGGCGATACACTGGTTTGACCATCGAGAGGAGCAGACGAATCCCAGCTGAGAATATGTAAGTTCGGCATTTTCGATTTCAGGTTAGATGCTTGCTGATCTCTGCCAACTAATGCTTTTAGAAACAGGGAGGGTAGAGAATAGGACTTTAGCTGATTTCAACCTCATCTGTGAACAGAATTTAATCTTTACTTTTAACAGGTGGGCTTCGGTTATATGTATGTAAATTGATAGGAAATGGTGTCATGCCTCTAATTTAATCTGCTATATGTGAAATTTTCTTCTGTGTCACTGAATCCCAACCCTGTTTTTATCATTGAACAAAAATATGTGTTCATAGAAAATAAGTTGAGATAGGGATGATGCAGAAGGGTATGGTGGATAGTTGTTGCCACATCAAATCGTTACAGCAATAAAATAACAATGGCTCTACACAAGAACAAGATCAAGATCAACCATTATCCTTTTGGTGCCGTTTTGGATATTGTCTTGTTCTGTGAAATAATTTTCATAAGATAATCATTGAAGGAGTGTTGTAGCTATACCTATTTGGCGAACTTTGACTAAAAGATCATAGATTGAATTAGGCTCGCTCTCAATTATGAGTTCCTAATCATTGATGTAAAGAACACGAGGTATAATGATTGTAGAGGTTCTATTGAGTTCGTAATCGTGACATACTAGCATGGTGTTCGACAGCCAAATTGGGGGAAATAGCTCCATATAATTAGTATGTAAATTTACAAGAATGGTGCCATTACCGGACGTGTATGCATGCATTCACTGTTTTGCTTATTAGCTTCATATACAACTTCAGATAGCAGATGTTGATGATTGATAGCTTCCAGGCATCCTTATACTGCTAAATTCCATGAACAAATCAAGTGAAGTTAGAGAATGAGAGGGAAGTACAACGTCCATGTTTTCTCCAGCTGTGTTGAGCGGAATTTTGATCGGAATCACCTGCCATCGTGAAACGTCAGAGGTTAAAACCCGAGGTGAAAAGAGTAACACCTAAGAATATAGGTATCTAGCAATCAGATTTGTAACTTCGGAGTAAGTCAGTTTCCTTTCATGGAGTCGAAGATCTCTTGCACGTTGCAGCTATACCTGCTCGACAAACTCTGGCATATCGAAGTGTTTCTTTAAAATTTAGTACCGTTTCTTCTTTCCATGACTAGAAATAAGTTTCCAGTTCAAGAGGGTGCTTGGATTACCTTCATTGGGTCATTCAAGGAATTCTCATCCATCAAATTACGAGATGTAAGTACAGTCTGAGATGACCCGGATTTCTGAATGGAGAATGCATTCAAATGATTTACAGATATCTTGAGACTCACTTCGTTGCTTCCAAAGTTAACAATCTGCAAAAGGTTGGCTATATTAGTATGCCATGAAATAATGTCAAAGACATGTTGAAAACGTGTCTTAGGACTCTTGGTCACAATATAGGAGATCCCCGTAGAAAAAGAAAACCGGAAAGGATCCACAAACTGTGTTTTATGTGTAATAGTCCAAACTCACCGCTAGTAGATATTATCTACTATAACTCGTTATGTATCGCTGTCAGTTCACAGTTTTAAAACGCATATGCTAGGGAGAGGTTACCATATCCTTATTAGAAATGTTTCGTTCTCCTCTCCAACCGATGTTGGATCAAACATATATAGGAATACATATATACCTTTATTCGAAGATAGTTGTGTTCATCTTCGGGATTTTTCCATATAATGGAAGATGCAATTAGGGAAGAAGCAGAATTAGCATCCAGTGTAGTATCAAGAAGAGTTGCTCCACTTGAGCCTACAAAAAAACGTTGCATCCAATAGCTAGGCGTTCCGTACAAGTGGGATGAGTTGAAGACAATAGCATCTGGATTCCACCTTTATGAAACACAAAGCTTTCCATTTTAGTTTAGCAATCAATCATTGTAAGACTTGACAGAGCTGATGAGGCAACAGAAAGTGATACCTTCTGTCATTAGTATTCACGAAAAGTGGTGCATAGCTTGCCATTTCAACAATATCACTACAAGAAAACATGAAAAATAAGTAGCTAATAATCCACCGCTAGCAGATATTGTCCTTTTTGGGTTTTCCTTTTCGGGCTTCCCCTCAAGGTTTTTAAAACGCGTTTGCTAGGAAGAGGTTTCCACACTCTTATAAAGAATGCTTCCTTCTCCAACTAACGTGGAATCTCACAATTTATGTCAGCATTGTTAATATTAAAAACCTGTTCTTCTCAAGGCCGATGAGAAATGCTGCTTCAGCGAGAGCTGCAAGAAGACTGCCTTTGCCAGCATCTGATCCCGTCACAGCATACTCGCTCACAAAAGCCTGCAGAGTAATCGCACAAGTTGGTTCGTATTCGATTCTTATTTAGAGCCAAAAGGTAGAGAGGAATAGAATGGAGGAGGTAGAGACCTTGGGACCAGTGCGTGATGTTTTATCAAACCTATGAGCCATTGAAAACATTTGGTTGGCGGAGGTATATATCTGATATATGGAGAAATTAGTATGAAACTAAAAAAAAACATTATTCCATTTGCAGAAAATGAAAAGGCGATGCTTAAGAAAACTTACATGAAAGTCATAGTAATCAGCTGGGTGATCCAACTTCCTAGAAGACCCGTCACAGTTAGAAATTATTTTAATGTCGGGATAGGCACGTTTCATCGCGTGGTAGATCTTGACATAATTTCCTGCCCAAATAAAAGTTATTCAAGAAAACATACGGAGAAAAAGCAGAGGAAAATCTACAACATTTTGACAAGCATCACTTGTCATCAACCTCACGGTTTTAAAACGCGTCTACTAGGAAGAGGTTTCACACTCATACAAAGAAAGTTTCATTTCCTTCTCCAATCGATGTGAGAACCCTCAATCCACCCCCTTTGAGGCCTAGCATCCTTGCTGGTACACTAGCTCGTGTCCACCCCCTTCGAAGCTCAGCCTCCTCACTGGCACATCGGAACTTGGCTTTGGTACCATTTTTAACAGCCCAAACCTACCGCTAACAGATATTGTCCCCTTTGGTCTATTATGTATTGCTGTCAGCCTCACGATTTTAAAACACGTCTGCTAAGGAGAGGTTTCTACACTCTTATAAAGAATGTTTTGTTCTCCTCCCCAATCGACGTGAGATCTCTTAATGCTATACTTATTTGCTAGAAGGATAGATTAACTCAAAAAGGGACTGAATTTTACAAAACACATTTTAAATTACAGAATCTGAATCAAGCCCGTCAATCAATAAAGGTCGATGCTAGAAGATTGAGAAACATATAGAAACATGAAGAAAATACTCTAAAAGATTGAGAAACCTCTGTAGTTCTTTTTGCCACAGTCCTCATTTCCAATGGCAACATACTTCAAGTCAAAAGGTTCTGGATGTCCCATCGAAGCCCGAATGGAACCCCAAGTAGAGTTAGGATCTCCTCTCGCAAACTCGATACTGTCGAGCGCTTCCTAAAATCATTACATCGTGATTTAGATGAATACTGACTTGACAAAATCAAGATACTAGCCATTTATTAGTATGGGTAAGATTTACAGATTTCACAAGATACACACTGCCAGTAATTTTAATATTTCAAATTTATCGACGAATTATGAATCATATTTCCTAGTCAAAGTAACAAAAACCGATTTATCGGCCTGATAGCAATTCGGGATGGTACTCGAAGTAGGGAAAAACACAAGATAATGCATATGCACATCAAAAAGAGGTGACACGACTTGGTATCTTAAGTCACTAACCCTCGATGAGCTTACTAGCTTACTAACTTGGTATCTTAAACATCAACAAATGATTGCGAGCATACCTGCACAAACGGTGAGATAGCGGAAGTATCTACCTCATCTTGGTGGCTGATTCCTTAGAAAATAAAATTATATATTGAGCAGAAGAAAATAAATGAAAAAATGGAGAAAGAAGGAAAGGAAGATAACCATCATGGATTACCATTATTGAACACCCAAACTGGCGCAGCACCAAGATCTTCTGCTAGCTGCGAAGGAAAGCTCAATAAATAATGAAATATACAACCAAACTTGAAGAGTATCAATCATAACATGCAAGTAATATCAGTTATGAGATAAAGTTAAGTAGCAACTCTTCTGTGGGGGCTATCTTAATGATTTGTTTTCAATCTGTGATACGTTTCTTATTTTACTGTTCCTCCCATCTTGATTTCTTTCTAGTTTTTAAGGAAATGCAGCAATTTTTTGACGAACTCGACCGTACGTCCCATCCCTTCACTAACTCCTTCATTTCACCCTTTCAACCTTTTCCTAATGTTTCTAAATTATTTGTTACATGGTGTAATGAGTTTGATGATTCCACCGAGAGGTTCAAGATCAATTTGATCTTGAATTTCTTTCTTCCATCAATGAATATATCTAGCAACCTGATGATATTCAACTTTGATGACGTCCATTAATACATTGAGCTTGTACCACTCCTCAATAGCTAAGTGGCACACTACTTGATGTCAGCACAAACCATCTCTCTTTTTTGGACTGACATAAATGGTGAGATTTCACATCGGTTGAAGAGAGAAACAAAGCATTCCTTATAAGGGTGTGGAAACTTCTCCCTAACATACGTGTTTTAAAACCTTGAGGGGAAGTCCAGAAGGGAAAGCCCAAAGAGTGCAATATCTGCTAGCGACGGGCTTGGGCTGTTACAAATGGTATTAGAGCTAGGCACCGGGATGTGTGCCAGCGCTTACAAGTATTTCTGTTTTTAAAGAAAAATTATACTGACTGAAACAGGATCCTTGCTCGAGTTTTTCAAGGCCTAAAAAGAAATAAATATTCTCACTCCATGAAAAATAAATACAACACTCACTTGGAGAAACTCAAAATAGCCAAGTCCATCATCAGTCCAGTACATCCAAACATCACCAAAGTGTCCAGGTCTCTGTTCCCATGGTCCAACGGTTTCTTTCCAACGAAATGCATTTCTTAACCACTCACCTTCCACAAAGCATCCACCTTCATTTACATGATTAAGAAAAAAATGATTGCCTATCAGTTACCACGACCAACAAAGAAACACCGCACGACGAAGAAATTTCAAATTTGTAGCAATAAGTTCTTATAATTCAAACATTAAACACGACCTGACAAGATTTGAGAGAGGTAGGGAAAGATGAAACATGACGATTACCTGGAAATCTAATAAATCGGGGTTCTAAATCAGCCATCATTTGGACTAGATCGTTTCGGAAACCATGACCCTGCATAATGATAAAGGTTACAACTGCAAGGAAAGTGAAATATATGATTTCTGTGCAATAAAAAAGTGTAACCACTCATCTAACGTTGTTTGGCATCTATAAAAAAGGAAGTATAATGCTCCTGAAGACAATAAGTTGTGCTTTTGGCTCCTGAAGCAGAAAGTAATTTCATACTACCAATGTAGAAGTATAATGCACATGAACCATTTTGAATTATGCAGAACGATTAGCTTGAGTTCCGAAAAGGGGTAGTAGTACCGTACTCATGATTATCTCGTTCTCAAAGGATACAAATATGAATGCAGTATCTAGCACAATAAGCAGAAAACTACCGAGAAAATTCGAAGCAAAACCCCAAACTCACGAAGTCCTATCTACTCAGTAGTATGATGAATACTGTTGGGTCAAACATTGCAATTCTACATTTCCATGACTTGGTCGATCCATATAGACATATAGAGACAAATACCTTATATGTTTCCAGAGGCATGGCTGAGACTTGGTCGAACCATATTACCCCTTTTTTTGACGTTGTCAACTGAAGACGTGAATTGGGATTAGTTTCGGAGGCATTCAATAGAACCTCCATCTTTGTCCAGTTTGACACATCAGAAGATCTACAAAGACAAGTAATTTATATTGGATTGCCATTCCAGCTAGGAGTTCTTTTGAAAAAATCAGATATGCTCACATGATGGATGATGTTGCCAACTTTTTCAGCCCACTCGAATCTGTGAGTGAAATGGACACATCAATTTTTCCCGAGGATCGAACAAAAAGAGTCACTTTGTATGCCTTCCCTTGCTTGATATTCTGAAGAGGGAAACCAAATTTAACATTTTAAGAACATAAGGGTCCAGAAAATTCCCAACATAAAAGTATTGGAAAGAAATTCCTTCTCAAAGAGGACTAACCATGCCCCAGAATCCAGGGTTGTAGATACCAACTCCTCCAGTTGGACAGACATTGATACCTTCACTGTCACACAACACGTCCATACGTAGGGCAACCTTATTCCGATCAAAGCAGGATGAGCGATCTGTTGATACACTTATAGTTGACTCGTTTCCTATGATTGACCAAGGACTAATATTCGATGGAACATTCGGACCCCCAGCTTCAAACCCTATGAATAAAAGAATCATAAAGATTATATCATCAGCATGTTCTTGCCTTTTATTTTAATTGCAAATAAAAATATATCCTCCATGGTTCCATCTAAGAAAATACATGGTGCTTCCAGAACAGAAAATCAATGAATGAATTGGCTCATTTAGTAAACAAATTTCTGTCGGAAGCGAATTCGAAATGCAAGAACTCAATAAAGACTCCAAGCCCTTCATACATAAGGACCATATCATATACTTCCACTGTTATGAATTCATCACCCATCATCTTCTTCATACAATTTTCATAAGGAAAAAAGGGTTATCAGAGACCTCTGTTGCTCACAAGCTCTGCCCATATTCCACCAGCCCCTGCATGATTAATTTCCTGTAAAAGAGAGCATAAAAATAAACTCATTCTTCTTGATATTTTTCTCAAAAGTACAAATCAAACCCCACGATTACGTAAACAAGCTCGAATTAGTAAAACGCTGTAAAGTTAAAGTCGTGTAGTGACAAAAGCAACTTAGTGTGTGCACTCCCAACAACGCTTACCCTTACAACCTATGATGTCATTATGCATAAAATGATATTAGAAAGTCCATAGAATGATAACATCGCTAGCAACAACAATCAATTTGTTCCAATCTAACAATTTAAACGATTCACAATCTATAACATAACATAGGAGAACAGGCATGTAGCATAAGTTCTGTATTTTGAGTATTCCCCTAATAGAACATTAAATGCTCCAACAACAAACTTTATAATTCTCTGTAGCAAGCTAGAAAAACATGAAAAATAAGCATGAATCATATTATCATAATTTCAGATAAAAGAAGTTTGGATTCAGAAGAATATATATATAACTGAAAGAAACAGCAAAAACAATTTAAAGAACCAACCTCAAAAAATATTCCAAAAAGTGTTTCAGGAATCTGCCGTGTTGATGCATTTGAAGCATTAACAACTAGGCGAACGGGCTGGGCGGTGTCATCTCCAATGGCAAAGAATGTACAAACAGAGATAACCACAATACCGAAGCATAGCAGAAGAACATAATATGAGACTTTACGAGAACCCATTACAATCATTGCATCCAACGCTATCAAAACCAAAAAAAGGAAATCAAGCTCAGTTTGGTAGTCCATCCATAATTATACAAACACCTTTCCATTACAACAAAGTAGCAGCAGCAGCAGTACAAGTGAAAATAACAAAAGGGTGCAAGAACTGGTAATATCTAATTTGGTTAAGAAAAAACGCCTGAATAAACACTAACAACGATCGAGCGATTAACTAATGACACTTGAAAGAAACGAGATCAGAGAAGACTTATTTCAGGGAAAACGAAAAGCCCAATTCACAAGCAAACCAGATTCTCAACAAGATCGGACTTACAGCCAACACAAATTCTTCAAAATCAACAGGAAATAGAAATGAAGATTGTGTTCATCCGTGAACCTGCTGAAATTTATCAGAAGTAGAAGAAATTCAAGTCCCAAGATGAGTTTAAATTCGTAAACTCGAGTTGAAATTCTGCTGTATTTGCTCAGTCAACCTCCTTATAAAGGCCGATAATCATCCAACTGAGAGAATACCCTGTTTTTCTTACTGTCACGTAAAAATTTCAAGAGGGAGAAAGAAAAACCCATCTGGGTGAGGAGTACAAGCGGAACCCATTACTCCTTTCAAGATTTGCTTCAATGGGTCCCGCTCCCTTGCGTCCCCAACACCGCCCATTGACCTTGTAAAGCCCTCGACGCGACTGTAATTTGTGGATTAGTTTACAAGACGGATGAAGGGCTAGTGGATCAGAGGACAGATAATATGACATTTTGCTCCAACCTTTGCTTAAAAAACTGTCGATGAAATTGATGATTGTTGATCATTGATGATGATGGTGCCCACAATCCTATCCAAATATACCCTTTTTCTTTCTTTCTTTTTTTGCTTCAAAGCCACGTCCCCTTCCGCATGGATAACGGTGAAAAACTGCGACCCCACCTCGATCGAATTGGATAAGAGCTCCTGGTCTGGAATCGAGGGTCCATGGAAGAAAAGGCAAGTCTTTCCATTTCCACTCACATGGTCCCAACTGAAATTCATTTCCTCTCATAGTACTCATCCAATAATCCATTCTTCATCCTTTGTTTTAGTAAATAGTTTACTTAGTTTTCAAAGATTTTTTTTTAGCAAATTTCAACGTGTATGAACATAATTAATACTCGCTCCAAATTCATAGGTATTTGGTATAACTTAATATGGATAATAAGTTTGTTTATCTTCCATTTTAGTATTAATTTAGTCCTTTATGTTTAATATCTTATAATTTTCCAATATTTTTCGAATGTTTGAAGTTGTTTTAAGGCCTCGTTCATAAGTTTTTTTGATCTCTATATTTCGTTGTGATCGTAACAGACAGCTTGAGTTTGACAAAAGTAATTTAGTGAACCTTAATCTTCACACGAAATTGAATTTAAAGGTTTCAGGACAAAGGTAAGGCCACTTTTAGCAAAGTTAAGGAGAGATTACGGGACAAAGAGAAGTAAAGAAAACCAAACATACAAGTCAACCAACTAGACAATCAATTTTCTTTCCTTAAATCAAAGGTTTCTTATAAAACCAAACAGATTTAGCCGACAAGAAACAAAAAAGTTGCAGAAAAAACCAGAAAAAATGGATCAATGTCTCAAGAAAACCTGATTTTGGCAGGTGGAATTTGAGCTTTATTCTGTAGCACTTTAGATACATGAAAACGCAAAGCAACCAACACTTCTAACAAAGAGAACCAGAAAATTCTTCATCCACCATAGAGCCTTTGATGTTCTTCGTCCAACATTCATTAAGCTTCTACACCTAAAGTACATCACTATCTTTCTTAAGCCATTTCTCACAGCTTCTAACCAAAGCAGCAGCATTTACAGATGCATACTGCTTCTTCCCTGCCTCCTCTGAAAATGTAACCTGTTGCACCACCCAAATTTGTGAGCATAATTTCGATGAGGGCCAGAGAGACTCGTAGATGACATGAAACGCACCGAGAAAACATCCAGACAATGATATTGCGCAAAATATACAGTTGAAGTTGAGTCATACAAAACGATCTCAACTTTGTTAAAAGATAACTGAACAAGACACAAAATGAAAACTCCGTTCCATCTCGACAAAGAGAGATGGATGGTTGGAATAATAGAATAATGTTAGCATACAAACATATATAATGAAAATGACACAGCAACATCAGGTAAAAAGTCATTTACTTGTAATAGGAAGTGGGGTTGAAGAGAGAAAGTCAAGTCAAGAGTGTGTGAGCTAGGTCGTTAAGGCTATACATCACGATGGCGTCTCGAAACGAGTTAAAGGGCGATCATAGTCTTAATCAATGTTCATAAAATTGTGTAAACATGAAGAAAATATTATATACTCCACACCTTTGGTGATGTTTTGAGACATCCTCCTAAGTCGTAGGCTCAAACTCTTAATTGAAATCTTACTAATTTAAAATAAAATGCTCACCATCCCGTGGAGTTGACCTTCAACCTCGCCAAAGATTAGCGGGATAGGCCGTAGGCTACAAGCATAGTGCAAGTAGTGGAGCTCCTGACACTTTATTTGTCATATATATATATTCACTAGATATTGTATTTCTATAAACCGAAGGAAATGATCAATTTGAACATACCTCAACTAGTTAAGGTATAAAATATCGACGGAGGGAGATGCTCACCTTTACGCCTAAAACTTTGAAGCTTGAACTTGAGCTGAGTCATCTGCATCCTTGGTCTTATCTGGGTTTACTCCAGCAAGGATGAAACTTTCTACGGCTACTGCATCACTATCTTCCATAGATGATACTAGCTGAGGATCGGGTGTTCGATCACGGGCACTTTTTGCAAATTCCTCTACTTCTTGGTTGAGAGTAAATAATGGATCAACATGAGGTCTCTCTCCTTCTACAGTCTTCAAATCATCTTCCAGATCATCATCAAATTCCAACCTCCTCAATATCTCGGGGATCGGGAAGGCCTCATCCTCCATAAACTTAGTTCCCCTTTCAATATCAATCTTCTCCTTCGAGCTATGAATTCCTTCTTCAAGATTAGGAGTAACAGCCACCATCACGTGATCATCCTCGGCGAAAGAACGGAACTTATTTGATGAAGGTGGTACCTTGGAGAAAAGTACTTCCCTAAGGTTTATCATCATTCCCCTGTTATATGGATTCTCCTTCTTGTCATACCGATACCGAAAATTCTCGTAGGTAGTCTGTATTAAAAGAGATGTAAAGAAGCTGAGGTGACTTTATCAGAACATGCGAGCAAGTAGAATATTCAAGGTAAGCTAGCATTTGTATAAACAGAAGGGAAAAAAAAAAAAAGCACCAGCCTAAGAGGAGTTTACAGTTCCTCAACAATAAACTAAATTGTTCTCTCTTCTTATTTACCATATTTCATGTTGTATTATCTTTAAACTCTACTGTGGCATCCCGAGAACCATATCGAAAGTTCTCGTGAAAAGAAAATCTCTATAGCTCGGGCTGTTCTTCCCCGCTTTCTTTTGTTCATCTTCCTAATCTTTTACTACTTATTTATTCATTATTGAAAAGACTTCTGCAACCAGTTTGGCCTTATAAACTTAAAAAATAATAAATTTTGATGCATATGCAGATATGATTCTAGAAAGTTAGATCATATTATGCATAAGTTGTTAATCCAAACGGCTGAGTACAAGAAGATTACCTGGTTTGTACATACAAGATAAGAATGGAATATCGAAAGGCCACCGACGAACCAAAAGGCGATGAAGCAATACACTACTAGAATATCTGAAAGGATATCTTTGGATACAGCCTTGAAAAAGGATTCTTGATGATGAATAAGAACAGACAATGAAAACGACAACACGTATACACACAAGATAGTTGAGGTTGTTATGAACAAGAAGAAGAACCGATAATTACGCTGCAATGGTAACAACAATGGATTCAATAGTTAGAGCCCAATGAAAATAGGCAAATAAAGTTTGAGCCAAAGCTTATTCACTTTGTTTTAAGCATACGAATAACTTACTATTCCAATGCACTGCCCAACCCATGGACAGTGATGATCAAATCTCTGAACACAATTGTTGCATATGGAACAATGAGATGCACGAGGCGGCCGATAAAACAGACAAGTGTCGCAGTACTTGACTTTGACTATATGGCCATTTACCGTCATGTCTTTAGTTCGAGGGATTTTCAGATGTGGCGTTCTACCATTGATCCATTCCATGGATGGTGTAGCCATGTCTTCTGATTCATCTGATTCAAGAGGCCTTGAATTTCGCGGCAGTATTCCTGGATCTCTACTAGAAGTCAAGAAGAGAAACATCAAATCCTGCACATAGTTTACTTCACGGGTGAGAATGCTGCGAGATTCTTTGCTTATACCACAATGAAATCTTCATAATTAACTAAGTCGAGCTATCGACATACACGGCTCGGTTTCGGGTTTTGTTTAGTTGTCAACAATCATAGAGGAATAACGACAACTCTAAAGAGCGAAAAAGTCGAAAGATTACAAAAAGAAAATCATGGAAGGAATTATTCTACACCATCTAATCTCAATAGACTATAGTTTTCCATCATTCTTTCTTTATTTCAAGCTCTTTCTTTCAAGCTCTTTCTCACTATAGACCACCTTACTAAGAAAACATAAAACTGTAATATCCAAACCCATTGCTAACATATATTATCCACTTTGGCCCATTACGTATCACCGTCAACCTCACGGTTTTAAAACGCATCTGCTAGGGAGAGGATTCCACACCATTATAAGGAATGTTTCGTTCCCCTCTCCGACTGATGTGGAATCTCATAAGAATTTATGAAAAGAACAAGGAATGGCAGAAGCTATGATTGGGGATAGAAATTGAATGACAGAGCAAGATTCATGTAGCCCGTATAAAAGTATTGGGGGCAATTTTAAGTCCAATCAAATCAAAACTCACCAGAAAAGTAAGACTGAGACCACCAAATAATACAGGATACCAATGAGCGTTCCCAGGTGGTTCCACATTATGAATCTTCAAAAATATCTTTATGCAGAAAGCAACTGCAGGACAAGCAATAAGGCATATGGAGAGAAACAGAGATGATACGTCAGGCCCAAATATCAATCTCCCACCACAGAAGAATCTCTGAAAGACAAAGTAAAACGAGATATCAATTTGGGAATGTATGTATAGAGATATAGGTATCATTCTCCCACTTGTATATGTTTATGATATTATCATCACTAAAAATGATACATAAGGTACTGTAACCATCAAGACTTCAAAGTCACAGAAGTTTAAGAAACGTCAAACTCCTTAAATATTTAAGCATAAGTGTTGAGGATTATCATGAGGAGTAGTCCCACATCAAGAAGAATATCATGAGTTTATAAGTAAGGAACATTATCTTCATTAGCACAAGGCCTTTTGGGGAAACCAAAAGCAAAGCCACAAGAGCTTATGCTCAAATTGGACAATATCGTACCATTGGGGAGCTAGGAATCGTATTCTCATATAATGTTTTATATCCTAGCGCTCAGCTATTAGTTTAGGAAAATGATCTACACTATTTGATCAAAAAAATCAAACAAACAAGGTATCTGATCATGAAATACAGAAGAATTCTACTAGTTATTTCTGTTTACATGAATATCAACACTCTCACATGCAACTTAGATTTTCCATCAACATTCTCAGCTCGTAAACAGTCATCAAGATGAACTAGAACAACATCAGTCAATTGTAAAGAAAGAAACAATGGTACTGATACATCAAACACTATCTCAAATTGCAAACGTCCAATCAATCAAATAATGAATTGAAAACAAACCCATCAACAAAAACAAAAAGAAAGGGTAAGAGCTCACATTACTTCCCCTCCAAACTTGGTAAACTCTTCTGGGTTTCTTCAGCGGGGCCATACCGAGTCCGGTGAACGATCCACCCAACTCGGACAATCCTATACCCAAAACCAAGGAGGAAAAAACACAGCCCGCTCTTATTCGTTCACCAAAAGAGCCATGGAAAAACAGACACCCCACCCCCAAGCCAAACCCAAATCAAAGCATGATTCAAGAAATCAAGAACTCCCCCTTTTGGGGTCGATTTTTTTTCAACGAAACGACGTGCGGACACGTGAGAGAAGAGAAGAACAAAGGGTTGAATCTTAGAACGAAATAGAGAGAAAGAGAGAGAGAGAGAGAGGGAGAAGGAGAGGAGATGGGTTCGGAGGTTTTTCGATCAAAAACCAGCTGAGCCGCTCCGCTCGTGAAATGAATCGATTTCCAGATTTCGGAAGAACGCGGAGTAACCCAAGAGAGGTTCCTCACAGCCTCGCTCTTCCTCGCTCTCCCTCGCTCTCTGTTTGTGAAATCGATCAAATGGGGTTAGTGGCATTGATGTATTGGGCGGAAGTTTCAATTTCTCGCGGCATTTGCGCACGACGTACCCAACATTCTTTGTCGTTTGGGAATCGAAAGCGCATAAAAATAATAATGGGAATCGGCAAAGCTTTTGAACTTTGCTACCTCCATCATTCGAATCATGAAACGTGCTGTCACATAGCCTCAAGCTTCTTTCTTTATTATCATTCCAATCTTCTCCCGTTCCACAGGACTGACGACTTCGTACTGGTAGCTTCACTGCCAAGTTACCTTGAATATTACCCTTTTTTTTTTCACCTTATCCAAATTAAAAAAAAAAAATCAAAATATTTATAAAAAATTAATTAATTAAAGTTCAACACATGGCAAATCGTGATTGAACCACTGATATAAGTATCTATGTTATATTATTTTTTTTTAAAATCTAAAAATAAACAACTATATATTAAAAAAATTAATCAACGAATAAACATTTTTTTATTTTTTATTTTTTTTATTAATATATAAAGTCCACGTTAATGATATTTTGTTAATATTTTTATTATATTCCTTCAATTGTTCTGTATATGAAAATGTGGATCAAACTCAAAAGACATGAAAATTAAGTATATTTGATTATATAGGGAAATTCTTTTATATATATATATATATATATATATATTTATTTATTTATTTTCAAATTTTGGGAAATTTATTGGATAATATTATTTTTTATGTGATTTCATTATTTTTTTAATAAATGACGGGTATATATTAATTATTGTTGATCTATACTACTTTAGCTTCAAAATATGACATTTAAGTTTTGGATCCATCGACAATTCTGCAAAATTCGATTTTGACATAATTCGTTTGTTCGTTGGATTAGAGTAAGCACTGCACAATCACTAATCCACTGTCACAAAGATGTCACGATACAATAGAACTTCCAAAAAGGTTATATACTATGGTTCAAAGAGTACGATTATCGCAAATAAATTCATATAATCATCCAATAATTTCCAGGTATACTTGATTTTGATGTGTTCATTTCTTTAATGTGAATAGAAAATAAATAAAAAGACAGAAATACATAATAAACAAATAAAGATAACATAAACAAGACAACAAATTTAAAAACTCCACCTAGTTGTCTCTAGTTTTTTTCCTTTTTTTTTTAATTTTTTAAATAGAAAGTTGTCACCTAGGTGTCATCTCATCATTAAAAAGATGTATATATATTATATATATATAATTGTTTAAAATAGTTTAAAAAATAATATCTTTTGATTTTTTAAAATTTCACTAATATCTTTAAATTTTTTTTAAAAAATTTAAAAATATCAAACTCTTTTAAAAATTTTAAAAATACCTTTAATTTTTTTAATTAATTTTTTTTTTAAAAATACTCATGAACTTTCTAAAGAACATTAAAACGATTATAAATAATCTATGAGGTGTCGATAAACAATTTTCGTCCATATATTAACCGTAAAATTTTAAAAAAAAATTATAAAGATAAATGATATTAGTGCTACTTTTAAAATTTTATATATATATATAAAAAGTGAAAAGATATTAATGAAACTTTTTAAAGTTTATAGATTACTATCAATTTCCATACAAAATTAGTATTTTTTAAAACTTTTTTGAAAGTAATGAGTATTATTGAAACTTTTGAAAGTATAAGGATATGAACGTATATCTCTTTAAGAAGTAGGAGAGTAGAACATCCAACAATTAGCACCACAAAATGTACGATCTTTCTACGTTTATTCAAGTAATCGGTGGTCTTATCCATCGAGCTACGCATAGCTAGAGTGGACAAAAAACGTGCAATCTTGAATAGCAAGAAAAGCATGCACAGATCACTAAACAATTATATACATTTTGAACAATGCTAAGGAATCCATCAGCAGAGCAACTCACTTCATCAACCTTAATCATTCTGATTTCTTCTTTGTATTTACTTCCTCCTCTTTCGGTTTTCGAAATAGTACCTTAAACGTCGATACCGCTGCTATAGTTCCTTGAATCGGAGCAATCCAGTATACAAGAATGTGTTCTTTCGTTATATGTTCCCCACGAGCGTATGCCCATCCCATTACCTATGGAAAAGTTGAAAACGATTAGTCCGTTGAGCGTCCTTTCGACGTCGAAAATCGATGTGAATAAAAGAACGATATCATCATCAACACTTACGGATGCGGGGTTCATACAGCCACCAGTTAAGTCAGAACCAAGAACATGAAGTGTTAACTTGGAGAAACTTGAGATCCAAGTCTTCATGAAGAAATTTCCAGGGATTTTTTTTGAAAGTCCGAGTGAGATGAAGACGATGCCGAACGTTAACAACCCTTCTGTCAACGCACCGTGATGGATGCCAACGTTCAAACGGGGTCCTCGTCCTGCTTCGGGAAACGTGTGGATAATCAGCCTAACAGCAGTGACAGCTCCAAGTACCTGAAGAGAGAATTAGGCCATAACTTGTTATGTTTTTGGAGTGAGCATGGAGATGCATGTTTAGGCCATATACTTCCCTGTCATGTTGTCTCACAGCCTCAAACAACCTAAACACTTGACCCGGTCTGAAGAAAGAAGAAAATCGACCTTATAGAGAAGTGGATAAGAGCTTATAGACTCAAGTGGTTAGCTCGGTGAAAACTCACACGGTATCATATGTGAGTTTCATATGGGATATTCTTGTGGGCTTGTCTATATGCACTTGTATATTCTTTTATTTTTCTAAATGAAAGTTCGGTTTCTTTAAACAAAGTTTACCGACATTCATACGAGAAAAAGTTCAGCAGTAACGATGACTCGTCATGAGCCTGAGAAGCTCCGAACGGACGACATAGCATTAGAGAACATTCTGTTGAGAATAGCTCAGGTAAGGTAAAAACTCCTAAACTATCCAAATCTCATCTCATTGTGCTGGCTTTTGGCCTAAAGGCTTCAATAATCCCCAGAAGAATGGCAACATTCAAACCTCCCTAATATGAAAATCTACCTTATATTTAGAATTTTGTTGCGATGAACTTTGACAAACAATCCCCATATAAAATGTATGCTCTTTCCAAATTTGCCTCCTAATTATTCAATTGAATTTGGGATTTCGTTTGTGTTTATGTTGGCGATTTCTGATGTGAATTCGGCGGGTCGTCCCACCCTTCCTACGGGTTCCCCCACCGACCCAGTGACACACCAACCACGCCCCTTCCCTGACCCTACCCCCTCAATGCCAAGCGCTCTTTTTATTGACTGTGAGATCCCACATCAGTTGAAGAGGAGAATGAAACATTCTTATAAGAGTGTGGAAACCTCCCCCTAACAAACGCGTTTTAAAAACCTTGAGGGGAAGCCCGAAAGGGAAAACCCAAGGAGGACAATATCTACTAGTGGTGGGCTTGGACTGTTACAAATGATATCAGAGCTAGGCACAGGGCAGTGTGCCAACGATAACACTGGATCCTAGGGGATGAATTGTGAGATCCCACATTAGTTGGAGAGGTAATGAAGTGCTTGTAAGGGTGTGGAAACCTCTCCTTAACATGCACGTTTTTAAAAACCTTAAGGGGAAGCACGAAAGAGAAAGCCCAAAGAAGACAACATCTAGTGACTGTTACAAATGGCATTAGAGCTAGGCATCGGGCGGTGTGCCAGTGTGGACGTTGGCCCCCAAGGGGGGTGGATTGTGAGATCCCACATTGGTTGAAGAGGAGAACAAAACATTCCTTATAAGGGTGTTGAAACCTCTCCCTAACAAACACGTTTTAAAAGAGGGGAAGCCAAGAAGGGAAAGTCAAAAGATGACAATGTGTGCTAGCGGTTGGTTTGGACGGTAACAAATGGCATCAAAGCCAAGCACCGGTCCAAACCATAGCAAGGTCCATAGTGTGTGACCACAACAATGTCCATAGTGTCAGTTCTCTCATGTAATACCTATCCGCCTAAAAGGTTGACCTCTTTAACAATTCTAACCTTCTGAAGTGAGAAAAACAGAAGAAAGAACAACAAGCCAAAGGATTGAAGATCCGTAGACAAACATCCCAGCCCCATAGGCAGAAATGGAAGTCAACCAACGATGAAAGCAAGAAATAAGCAGCAGCACAAGCTTCCCTATAGAATAAATTTCTAAGTCAAACAGAAGAGTGTTCAGGTGTTAATATAACATCAAATTCAAGCTTGGGTTGAACACAAAATCATGGCGATGCAAACAACAACAGAACCCAGACTAAGTAATACAACTACAAAATGAAGGGGGGAAAAGAACCTGAGCAGGAATTCTGGCACCAGCAGTGAAGAGAAAGCTACTGAAACCCCCAGAAAAAGCAGCCGACAAGACATTAAGAGGATTGTAAGCCGCCCCTTTGGAAATTTCCACCAAGAACGCGAACAAGAACATGTTAAGAATCGAAAAGGCAGCCTTGACAACCTCGCCAATCGGATCATTTCCGAACCCCAATAACCCGAAAACAAAGATCTTAACCAAAACCCCCGACCATAACCACATAAAAGATAGGGCAAAATCCAACACAAGCAATCGAGCCCCAGAAGCCATCGTTGAAATGGAGATCTTCTGGGGTTCTTTCAGTGACCCTGATCTTTACTCGATTGATCGAAGTGAAGAGAAAAATGAAGGAACGTTGACCGTAGGTGGGCGGGATTTTGATTGGACCTAGACGACCTTAGAATGTCTGAACGACATTCGTCTTCTTACGATATTATCGGATTCCAATGCGGCGGCGGTCGATCAACGTTGATTAGCATTTGACGGAATATTTTAATACAGAATCTGAGTTTTATCAAAACTAAAAAAAAAAAAAAAAAAGAAATAAATATTCTTAACAATTTTTTTAAAGGAAAATTATTAATACAGATTAAAATATTTTATTTAATCTTCTTCCTTCGTTATATATATATATATATATATTTTTTTTTAAATAAATAAATTTATTTATTATTATTATTATTATTTTGTTTCCTAAATATCAAAATTTTAAATAAAAATGAGAAACTCGTTAATTTTGTAAAGTGTGTATATATTGGGGAGATTAAAAGGGATCGGGATTAAAATGAGATTCGTTAATGAATATAATTCAGATCTTAACAGAGGTTTCTTAAAAATTCAAGCATTAGTATGTTTCAAGTCATTCTTGTGGTAAATTGCATTTGAGGCATTCAATCAAACTTTTATGTTCGATTATGGAGTGACTCAATTTAGAACAAAATTTTCAAATCTTGCTTTTTAAACTTCGATCGGTAATCTAATTATAATCTTATATTTTGGTTGATCCGAATTTTGTATAAAAGAAGTGTTAATTACTTCGATTTAATTGGAGGGTCCTTGCTCCAACAAAAACAAAATGATGAAATAACTTCTGATTTTTATTTAAAGTTAAAATTTCGAAGATCGAGGAATCAAGAAGGTAATTAAAAAACAAATATATAAGAAATAAGAAACTCGTAGAGTCAAAGTAGATGAAGGAGATAATCCATTAATAAATAATTTTTATCCATTTTGTAACGACAAAAACTTTTATTTAAAAAAAATAAAAATATTAATACTACTTTTTATAGTTCACGAGCATATTTTAAATATAGTACTAAAAGTTTCACTTAGGACATTTTTTAATATTTTAAAATTTTAAAAGTATTTTTAAAAATATATATATATATATATTAAAAAAAATGTTAATGTGGGTTGGTCTCACATTTGGGTTTAGAAGACGGCAGGGCACGTCCGTATGTCTATTCAGCCGAAAACAATAGTTTTAAATGGGTTTAAACTGCCAACAAAGCTCTCACACGATCCAACGATGGCGATGGGTTCAGGATCAGCCATCCATGTATTATGGACCCACAGACAACCATGCCGTTAAAGAAGTTTGGGATTCTTTTTGGGTTTTCAGTCATAATTGGCAGCCTGGAAACGGATAGTTTCGTCATTTTTGGAGAGGGAATCGAGGGAGACTGGGATTTTAGCGGTGAAATTAGACGCTGGAATTCCGGATACGTTTTAATTTCTTAATAGTTTTAGAAGAATTTCGGCCTTGCCTCTGCGCGCTTCTTTCAGACAATGATCGTAGGTACTTTTTATCGGAATTCTGATCGTAATAATATTGTTAGCTATTCATTTGGCGACGTGGTTTTATCGATCTGAACTGGTGGGGTTTTGGTGTTTCGTTGCCGCGTTTGACTTGTGACATGGTGACTGGAATCTTTCAATTTGCAGGCTGGTTAATTTGGCTTTGAAGTAGTGCATATTTGAGCTCTAGCTTTTCTTTCCCTTCTCGACATTGGAATTCGATTTTTTATCTGTTCAGAAGGGAAAGAAAGGGCTATCTCGTGAGGGTTTGCCGGATTTTTGTGTCCGTGTGATTGTAAGATTTTGAATATGAGCGCTATTTCGGGTATGATTTCTCGGCAAGTATTGCCTGCATGTGGTAGTCTTTGTTTCTTCTGTCCTGCATTGAGGGCAAGGTCTAGGCAGCCTGTGAAGAGGTACAAGAAGATTATTGCAGAGATATTCCCTCGTAATCTGGTTAGTATTTTTTATGTTTTTAGCACTTTACTATTGACCCAGCATTATTTTGCTTTGTTATGACTGATGTTTTTTCGTGTTCCACTAATGGGGTTTGGGGGGGTTTTTGGTGACGACAAATCATGGTGAATTTTATATTCAAATTTTGAAGTACAATTTGGTCTAAGAAAACAAGATAATTGATATTGATGCAACGTTCTATCTTCTTGTGGAGGGTTTCTGGAAGTTTTTTGACTGACTTTCCTTGAAAAGTAATTTGTTTACTCTCTAGGATTTGGTTTAGCATTCTCAAGCTACAGCGCGATACTTGTAAGGTTCTTTCATCAAGATTAGGGATGGGAATAGCTCTTTCTTTTGGTTGGATGATTGGAGTTGGGGAGGCTGTTCAAAGGATCACTCAGTCCTTTCTCTCGGACCTATCCAGTCACTGTTATGGTCTGGGATCGGCAATCTCGCTGTTATATGACAGGGAATTGAAAGAGAGAAATCCTTCGTGTTTATTTTGAACTCTAAAGGGCTTATTGGCATTCCTGATATTCACTAGTGAAAGATTGATAGGAGTGGAGTTTTCACTAATTAATCTCTCCTTACTCCTCCTTTTGGGAGCCAATTGCTTTGACTATGCACTTTTGTAAGGTGAAAATTAAAAAGACCCAACTCAATTCAGTGGTCGGGTCGAATATGCTGTTTTATTTTTTATTAAAAATTATCAATATTGTTATTTATTTTCATTTGTTGGGTCTTCCTATCACGAACCCTCATTTCTCAACAACGTACTTCTCATTGAATTGTCCATCACTCTTTTTGTATTTATTCATAATTGATTGAGGACAATCCCTATATTATGTTAGGAAGAAGGACCGAATGAGCGGAAGATAGGGAAATTATGTGAATATGCGGCTAAAAATCCTCTTCGAATTCCGAAGGTAAAATGTATTAAACTCTTAACACCGTGGTCTGCTATGCGATCTCACAGTTTTATTTTTCACAAGAGTCTGTTCACTTTTGTTGTGGCTGGTTCACATAATTATACATCGTCTGCAAGGTCGATGACATTGAGCTGGATGGCATTGTTCCCAAAGTATATTTGTATAACTGCTCTCCAACATCCTAATTCCGACATAATTTTTTTTGTCCTCATCTTTTTGTTTATTTGCCTTACATACTTCCTAATTATTTTCATTTGCTTTAAATAAGAATCGCTCGATGAGTATTAGTAAATGCCTACTGTGCTTTAGTTAGGATTTGCCCAATTGTCTCTGATGACCAGTCTTCCAGAAGCTTCTTTATGTTTGATTTTATTTTGGCTTTCATTCAGCTGTCATGATTTTTATTGATTTAGAAAGTTTCATGGGGCTCAGAGCCTCGACAGTCGCATCAATGATGATTGATTGGTATTTCTGATCCCTGGAGGAACTCTATTGGGAACCCAGGTTGGATAGTTTTCCAGCTCAACTCTACAAGGATGTTACATGTTCATTTTTATAGTATCTTGAAGTAAGAGATAAGCTGGAAAGTTACTTTCTGGAAACATAATTCATTCAGAGATTCTTATTTTATTTACTGTATACCTTTGCATGTCAGTAACCTTTCTGAGAACAAGCAGTAAATATTTTCTTTCCTTTGGCTTCTCTTGAAAATTATATTAGATTTCCGTAGGAATATATGCCTGGGAAAGTAAAGGAAAGACTGCAGTGGTGAAGAAGAAACTATGATGCTGCAAAAGTTCTTTCAATAAAATGTTATTATTCTATCAAGGATTAGTGGGAAAGCGTGAGTTTCAGCCTTTTAGTTTATTTTCTTTAATAAAAATTGAAAGTTTCATTAAAATAGTGAAGATTTAAAAAGTTCAAGCCTTCAGAGTAAGATAATATTTCCTAATACAAGAAATAAACTCAAAAAACCTACGATGGTACCAACATCTCTCTCAATACAAGGACATTGTAGAAAAAGCCCTTTGATTAATGGAAATATTCGGCAAAGAATGACCACAAAATAAAGAAGATAAGGAACAGGAAGAAAATTCCTTTAATTTTGGTTACTCTGTCTCTCAACCCAATTTGAAAATTTGTTATCGTCTCTTTCATGAGTTTGAGTACTACCATCCAGAATAGAAACCGTGAGTTTCAACTTGGAGAAAAGTTTTGGTGGCTTTTGAGGTCTGTGCTACCAAATGAGATGCTGAACATGAACAAGACATTATCCATCATATTATTAATCTAATTAAGAAGAATGATTTTTTTTGTAAACTAAGTCCACAGGATGTAGTTTCTACATCAGGTAAACTGATCATGTTGGAGTAGCTTTTTCTCTGTATACGTTCATGTATCCTTTCCAAAGGTCAAGTTGTGCCTTATCTTTTGTATTCTTGTCTTCAATTGGAAGATATCTTTAATCAAGTTTCACATTTTCTTCTTTCGCGGACGACACAATCCTCTTTTCTGACTTGACAGATGCCCATTTTATACAAAACATGATTGAGACGGTAAAAACCTTCGAAGGATTCTCTAGACAAAATATCATTCTCCGAAAAAACAGAGATCATGGACATCAAAATTAGAATAGAGATTAGTGAAGAATTTGCTAGCATATATGGTTGTAAAAAGGGAGGATGGCCAAATATGTACCTATGACTACCTCTAAAAAGAAACCACAAATCTTTTTCCTTATGGAAGACTTATTGAATAAATAGAAAGAAAGCTGTCAACATGGTCATCATGTTATACTTCAAAGGTCATCATGTTATACTTCAAAAGGCAGAAGACTTGCCCTAATACAAGCCACATTATCCAACCTCCCCACTTACTACACATCTCTATTTGAAATGTTACAATAAGTGGCTGCGGATATAGAAAGATTATTTAGAAACTACTTGTGAAAAGATGACTTTCACCTTGTTTGATGGAATATTATAAATCTCCCAACAGAAAAAGGAGAACTCAGTCTTTTCTTAATAAAGAAGAACAAATCTCTCCTTGCCAAATGGATGTGGAGATATCATCACGAAGAAAAGGCCTTGTGGAGTAATCTTATAAAGGCGAAATATACTCCCACATCAAACAAAAATCAACCCCCTCCATCTTCTACAACCGAACTTGTCATAGAGTGGGTGATGGAGGAAGCAAATCATTTTGGACCGACCCGTGGATTGAAAACACCATGTTAGTCTTGCGATATCCACTTTTTTACAGGCTCTCTTATAGCAAAAAAGCCACGATCAAAGAAACGTGGAATATTGTCAACAGATTCTGGGACCTGAAGCATGGTAGGAATTTAAAGGATAACGAAGCAACAGAATGGGCCACATTAAGTCTTGACCTTGCTCTTGTGGTATTGTCAAACGAAACAGATTCACTGACTTGGCTCCCCAATGCTGACGAGGTCTTCTCTACAAAATCCTTGATGATGGACATGGAGGAAAAAGTAGAAGCAATAAATCTCACGCTAGCAAAGACAGTATGGAAAGGGCATCACCCTAAAAAGGTGAAGTTCTTCCTTTGGAAAACAGTGCATAAAGCCATTACACAAGTGAAAATTTTCAAAAAAGAATGCCTTACATCACTCTTTCTCCAAATTGGTGTCCATTATACAAGAAAGAAAACAAATCACAAAACCACTTATTTATGCAATGCACATAAGCTCAGAATTTTTGGACAACAATTCTCAATATATTCGGAAAGCATCTCACATTTCCTAGGGAGGTAAAGGATCTATTGGACACGACCTTAACTTTCTACACTTTCAAGAATGCAAAAGGCCTATTATGGAAAAACCTCATCATGACTTTCTTTTGGAATCTGTGGAAAGAAAGAAAGCAGAAAGTATTCGCAGAAAAGACACAATTTAGACAAAACTTTTCGACAATGTTATCCACCAAGCTATATCTTGGTGTAAACTGTCTAATATTTTTACTTCCTATAGTTATACCTCCCTCATTACAAATTGGGAAGGTCTTTTGTAAACACCATGGATATTACATTCCTTTTGTAAATGTCAATCAATTAGGAATGAAATTGAATGAAATTGTCACTTATAAAAGATATATATTTTCTTCTTTGACCATATTACCAAATTAACAAAGGATTATGCTAATTTTTTTCAAACTAAATTCATAGGATGTAGTTTCTGCTCTAGATAAACCGATCATCTCAGGAAGTTTCTGGTTATTGTGGTGCATGTATTCGTGTCTTTGCGGAGTTCAAATTGCATTTTATCATTTGTATTGTCGTTCCCGTCTTTGGAAGAGTTATGTAAATCAAGTTTCATACTTTTTTCTCTTCCGATAATGTTTTTTACCCCAATAATTATCAATGACTAATTAGCATGCTCAATGCTTGATTATAGTTTTTGTACTAATTTTTAATTTCCAAATTTCATGAACAGATCACAACTTCCCTTGAGCAAAGGTGTTACAAAGAATTGAGGAATGAGAATTTTCTAGCCGTTAAAATTGTCATGTCCATCTACAAAAAACTTGTGGCTTCATGTAAGGAGCAAATGTGAGTAAAACCATCTTTTGTTTTCTTGATTTGTTTTCTGTCTATCTGCATCTAATATCTACTCTGTCATATCTAAGGGAGAACGCTTTAGTTTGACCTTCCGAAAAATCTTCGACGACTTTTATGTCAATAAATATATTTTTTATTCTCTTACAGCTCAATGGATTTAACAATGTTTTCTAATGCTTGGAACGTGTCCAAGTAAATATTTTTAGTTAGATATTGGGATTGTGAGCACCTAGGCAGTAAGGAAATGAGGTTGAAAATTTAGCATCTTTAATAAATTTGTTCTGAAATCTATTAAGAATGGATCTATTTGATTTTGTATTTAAAGGATTTCTGCTGTCCATTAGAATCTAGGTAGCATTCTATGTCTTTTATTAAAACTTTTCTGCCACCCATCCATAAGACGACGTGAAACTTAGTGTCTGTTCTAAAACATTACTAATTGGCTCATGAGGATTCCGAACTACTTGTAGGCCTCTTTTTGCAAGTAGCTTAATAAGCATTATGCAAACTCTAATGGACCAAACACGGCAGAGGGAAATGCAAGTGATAGGATGCCAGACTCTATTTAGTTTTGTGAATAGTCAGGTAAGTTAATAATATAGCTTTAATCCTTATATTCAGTACAGTAGTACGGAGGTTTTCAATATATATTTTATTGATTTAATATTGAACTTCTGATGGTCCAGAGTGATGGGACTTACATGTTTAACTTAGAAGCCTTTATTCCAAAACTGTGTCAATTAGCTCAAGATGTTGGAGTTGATGAAGGGGCTGAAATCCTGCGTTCAGCTGGCTTGCAAGGACTTTCCTCAATGGTATTCCTTTCTATTTCTACTATTTACATTTATGTTAAGCTAGTCAAAGGGAATTAATGGTACATCGAAAAGAAGAGAAGATAATATCCCTGTCCCTTTTCAACTGTACTTCTTTTCTCTGTTGTTTCCCTTGGCATACTAAACACTTATACTTTCTTTCATTCTTCTTAGTGATTCTATTATGGTTTCTTATGATGATGACAAAATAACAACAATAATAAGGTACCTAGTACTCATGAACTTGCAAAGAGAGTACAAGTTGATTCATGCATAAAACTTTCATTCTCAAAGTATATTCCTTCTTCTGTACAATGTATCTTTCAAATAGCTTGTCAAAACTCATTTGGTTTATGTTTTCTTCTAGGTATGGTTTATGGGTGAATACTCTCATATCTCTGCCGAATTTGATAATGTAAGTTGATTCAGAAATTCTTGACTGATCTTGATTTTGTTATCCCAAGTATATTATAGTGTTGTTATAGCTTCTTTATTCTATTATCCATGTTCCTATTTTTTAGTTATTGATTCAAGCAATCAATACTAGGTTCGTATCTCCCATGTCCTCCCCAAAACTTGTTCCTTTTATGGAAAAACAAACATTATTTCTAATGACTAGTATTATCATTATATGAAATTTGAAGCCTAGCTTGGTTTGTCCTGTCTTTACAGATTGTTTCAGTGGTCCTGGAAAACTATGGGGTTTCTGGACAAAATACTGACAACTCAAATAATCGGTGGGTCCAAGAAGTGCAACAGGATGAGGGTCATATCGCTTCATCATCAGTTGTCCTGATGAGCACACCATCTTGGAGGGAAATCGTGACTGAAAGAGGTGAAATGATACTGAGAGGGTAATCATATGACTCTGATCAAGTCCCCAGGTTATAATCTTGTTGAGATAAAATGTTGCATTATACATTAACAATCTTTTTTTGATAGGGAGGATGTCCAAAACCCTTGCTTTTGGTCTAGGGTTTGCCTACACAACATGGCCAAACTTGCCAAAGAAGCTACAACCATGAGGCGTATTTTAGAATCTTTGTTTCGTTACTTTGATAATGGAAATTTATGGTCTACTGAACACGGTATTGCAGCTCCAGTTCTAAAAGATTTGCAGTCCATAATGGAACAATCTGGTGCGTTCTTTCAGTCCTACCCCTGTTTGTACTCTTTCTGTCTTTATTATTTCAACGCCTGTACCTCATGTTTCCTTGTAAATTTCTGGTTGATCGATCGTTTTTTTTTTTTTGACAGGTCTAAGTACCCATGTTTTGCTTTCTATGTTGATTAAACATCTGGACCATAAAAATGTCCAAAAGCTACCTAACATGCAGATGGACATTGTTTATGTGACAACAACCCTTGCCCAAGAGGCAAAGGTTGAACCTTCAGTCGCAATAATTAGTGCTGTGAGTGACTGCATGAGACATTTGAGGAAGAGCATACACTGCTCACTTGATGCAAATACAGGGGATGATGTGAAAAATTGGAAGAAAAGCTTAAGTGAGACAGTAGATCAGTGTCTGGTACAGCTAATATATAAGGTGATGATAATGCCTATGAAAATTTTAACTGTTTTAACTTTCATTATTGTTGTGCATATTTTTAGAGCTTAAAAGCTTAACTAAGAACTGGAAAACAGGTTGGAGAACCGGGCCCAGTTCTTGATGCCATGGCTGTGATGTTGGAGAGCCTTTCTACCGTTACAGACATAGCCAGAAGTACAATTTCTGTTGCTTATCGTGCTGCTCAAATTGTTGCCTCCTTGCCTAATTTATCATACCAAAATAAGGCAAGAAACAATTTTCTGCTTTTGAGTCTAATTCGTTCTCTCCAGCAAAGTTTAACCTTATGATTTTAATAAATTCAGTGTTTTATGGCTTAGGCATTCCCTGAGGCTTTATTTTATCAGTTATTACTGGCTATGGTCCATCCAGATCATGAAACACGAGTTACAGCACATCGTATTGTTTCAGTTGTCCTTGTGCCTTCTTCTGTTTGTCCTCGTCTATGCTCTTCAGATCGTAAGTCAATGACGGCATCTGACCTTCCTAGGACACTCTCAAGAACCGTGTCTGTTTTTTCTTCTTCAGCTGCCCTTTTCCGGAAGCTGAGGCATGAAAAGGTCTCCTCACTGGAAAATGGTCATCCAGATATGAAAGGTATCGCTCTTCCTGATGGTGAACAGGAAATTGTAAACAATGGTACGCTAAGTAGGTTGAAGTCGTCCTATGATCGGGCCTGTAGCGTAAGAAGTTCTGAACCTCTGGGAACTGATGCAACTGCTATCAACAGCTTGAGCAAAAAACCAGTATGTTATGTGAATATTATTTCATTTCTTTTAAGTATTTTATTGTGAAATACTGCTTAGTATATGATATGCATTTTGTTCCCTTTTTCCCTGCAAATAGATGTGATATCATAGGTATTAAATAGTAGGCGATTGTTATAGTTTACTTTGTCAACTTTTATCGATGATTTGACATATGCATGGGTGTTCTGCTAGAATACTGTTGTTTAATATTGTATATTAATTTCCCAAAGTATATTAGGAATGTAGCATACATGAGTATTGCATAACATGGAAGTAGAAGAGAGCTCAATTTGCGTTAGATTACCAACTTTACTTACTTTTTCCTTTTCTTGTTTTTATCCTAATCAAACTTCAGGAAACTTCTTCTCTCCGACTCAGTAGTCGCCAAATTACGCTTTTGCTCTCATCAATTTTTGTACAATCCATATCTCCCGCTAATTTTCCAGTAAGCTATGAAGCAATTGCCCATACATACAGCTTGATCTTGCTGTTTTCTCGAGCTAAGGTAATTGAATTATTAGGTTGATTACGATACTTTTCAGATGGGTTGATTTTTCCTTTTACTGGGATGAACTGTCGTTATTTTTTCAGTTGAAAATCTCATTTTCTTGGTAGTATGCTAATGAAGGGACTAAATGTATCCGCATAAAGCATGTAATTTATTTTGCAACGGAGTACAAAATTCATTATATCTTGCAAATTCAATTTGCTTTACCTGGGGTTGGTTCTTTTAATTTGTCCAATATACCTCAGTATCCAGTTTACATAAAAAAAAAAATTCCCCAGAAAGCTCAATGCTTTTTATTCTTATTTCCTGAGAATGAAGCACTTTTTATTGCGATGTGTGAAAAGTTATGATAATATGTACAAACAATTAGGGCCTTATTTATTGCATCACTAATCTATGGGTATAATAAAGTGAGAAAAAGGGGGGGGCTAATGTATATAGTAGTAAAGGACTTTGAGGGAATAAGTTCAAGCCACCTATGACCTACCTATGATTTAATATCTTATGAGATCCCAAGTAACCAAATGTAGTAAGGTCCCGTGAGATTAGTTGAGGTACGAGCAAGTTGGCACTTGAGTACTCATGGAAATAAGAAAAAAAAGTTATGGGGCTTTCTTGAAACACGTGTCTAGGTGCTTTTAGAAATGTCTCTCCCACCCTCTCTCTTTCTGGATCGTGGAGGTTGACAATTGTGATAAGATATTCTACATAGTCCAGTGATGACTTCCTAGACTGCTGCTTGAAATCGGCCATCGTACAGTTTAGTCGAGAACTTTAAGATTTTGGATGTTATGTTAAACTCTCCCAGAACCAGAAAAATATAGTACGAAGGGCTTGAACAACTTTTCTGTATATATATAACTTGGTTTCATTAACCTCCCAAAATATTCATTTCCTCTATTCTCTAATCTTAATGTATCATATGGTTCTTTCTATGCAGAATTCAAGTCATGAGGTCCTAGCACGAAGTTTTCAGTTAGCATTTTCATTGCGGGACATTTCGCTCAATTCAAGGGGTGAAGTTTCACAATTTTAGCTTAAATTTGGTCTTCAATCTAATCTCTTCATGAAATCAAGATGTCATTTCATGCATATGTCATATATGTGAGGAAGAAATAAAAACACGGTAGAGGGTGATATTATCCAGAATAAAACATTGAAAGGAAGAGAATTATGTGAGAATTGACATCTAAATCATATTGAATTCTTTTGCTTGGGGGGAATGGTTCACTTGAAAGATTATAGTGAAGAGTGGCTAGGCTTGATTTTCCTCTAATTTGAAACTCGAAGCTACAAGTTATGCTCTAATTGCAGGATCGCTGCCACCATCGCATCGTAGATCCCTATTTACGCTAGCCACATCAATGATCCTCTTTTCGTCCAAAGCTTTTGACATGCTTCATCTCGTTGAGCAAGTGAAGGCTATATATGTGGACAGAATGGTATGTTGCCCATTTGCTTATTGCTAAAAGAACTAACCTCTTAGACCTACCATTACCTTCCAGATTAAGTCTATGTTTATATCTGAAGCTGCTGTAGAAATTTCACTTATGAATTGTTTCTGAACCTGTTTAGGCCGATCCCTTTCTACAACTGGTGGAAGACTGCAAGTTACAAGCTGTTGCCTTACAGTCTGAGATAATCACTAGTTCATATGGATCTAAGGAAGATGATGATTTGGCCTCAAAATTTCTATCTGAAGTAGAGATAACCGAAGATCAAACTAGAGAATCCATTGTTATTGAGATTGTAAACAGCTTGGATACACTTTCAGACGTAAAGCACTAGAACACTCATTTCTGGATTGATTCATTTTTTATTGCTGAACAGTAACAAATTTTTACCTCTATGGTGCAGTCACAAGTCTCGAGCATAAACAAGCAACTTCTCGGTGAGTTCGTACCTGACGACATGTGTCCTCTTGGAAATAATCTGTTAGAGGATGCTTCTAATAAAGTTTTTCAGGTTCTACTCAGAACTCTAATGAATTCATTAAAGAGAAAGTAAACATATGTAGCATAAGTTTTGCTTAACTTGTGTTCTTCTCTGCAGTTTTCTCCAATTTTTAACATTGATGAAGACATTTATGATTCATTCGAAGACCAAACTAAAGATAATCAAGAGTTGCATATTGTGATTCCCCTTTTGAATGTGAATCAGTTTTTAGAATCAGTATGTCAGCAACTTCAAGCTCTCATTATTTGATGAAGTTACCAAAATTGGGAATTTTCAACAGTAGCTTACTGTCTCATATTTCTTCTAAATCAGGTACTTGAAACGGCACATCAAGTCGGAAGAATCTCCGTCTCGACCACAGCTGATGTGTCTTTCAAGGAAATGGCCCATCATTGTGAGCTACTTCTGGTTGGAAAACAACAGAGGATGTCAACTTTGATGATTTCCCCACAGAAACAGGAGAAGGCTATGAACGTATCTCTGCCAAACCAAGAGAATGAGGTTAACCCTAGACGGAAACTTAACCATGTGTTAATGTAACAGTTCAAGCCCACCACTAGCAAATGTTGTCTTTTTTGGACTTTCCCTTTCGAGCTTTCCCTTTCGGGCTTCCCCTTAAGGTTTTTAAAACGCATCTGCTAGGGAGAGGTTTCCACACCCTCATAAAGATACTTCGCTCTCTTCCCCAACCGATGCAGGATCTCACAGTCCACTCCCCCCCTATGGGGCCCAACGTCCTTACTGGCACCCATTCCTTTCTCCAATCGATATGGGACCCCCCAATCCACCCCCATTTGGGGCCCAATGTCCTTACTGGCACACCACCTCGTGTCCACCTCCTTTCGGGGCCCAGCCTCCTTGTTGGCACATCGCTCGGTGTCTAGCTTTGATATCATTTGTAACTGCAGGTTTCCTCTCAAGGTTTTTAAAACGTGTATGCTAGGAAGATGTTTCCACTCTTATAAAATGCTTCGCTCCCCTCCCCAACTGATGTGGGATCTCATAGTTAATATTGGATCGTTTGTGAAATTTGTCTGCATGGATATAAATTATAGCTATTCCACATGTGGGTGCAAGTTCTTCACCATGTAAAAGAAACAAACAATTTACAAACTTCTAACATATTCCTAAAATTGCAGGTTAGCAATCCATCTATTGAACACTTCACAGCTAACCCACATCAACCGCCCCCTGGACCAATTGCGATGTCGTGCGGGGCTGAATATCAGTGTCATACACACATGTTCAGATTACCAGCTTCTAGTCCTTATGACAACTTTCTCAAAGCAGCAGGTTGTTGATTCCATTCCTGTGTAAAGTAAAGTAACACATGTTCTTTCAGTTGAACCAGAAGTATTAGGTACTCGAGGCATCGATATCAACAAGCGAGATGACTCGGCAATTGGAGTACATTTTGTAAGTAGCTACTACAGAAAAAAGATGAGCTTCACTTTTTATTGTTTTCAGTCAAGTTTGAAGGTCTAAAATCTTCAATTCGTTCATTCTTTTTTTTCCCTTCAAATTTTCTATTCATATTTCTGGACTCCTGCTGGAAACAACTTGCTATTTTGCTCCCTGCTTTACGTTTGGTAGTCGTCTTTTGTTTTTTTGGGAGCTTTCATCTTAATTTAATTGATTGTATATTTTGTTTCTCCATTGCTGTATTGAAACTCTATGCTAGTGTTCATGTTGTACAATGGAACAGCATAGCCCTTTTTACGGGAAAGAAAAAAAAAAGGAGAGAAGAAACTAGAGGTAAATTATACTCGGTGAAGCCTCTTATTTCTAAGCCTTTTCTCAATGATTTTTCATGATATTAAATCTTAGTTATTTTTCAATCTTAATAATTCTTAGGCATGAACTTTCTCGTAATGTATGTCAAATGATACGTAGAATTTACTGCAATTGTTTGTGTATTATTTTTATGTATTTAACGCGTCTTGAATTTTTATTATATATATTATTTTTTCGATCTCGTAATTTACATTTTTTGTATTTGTGTCTATAGATTTTTGACATATTCAAAAGGAAAAAAAGCTAAAGGAGGAGGACGAAGGAAGTGGAAATTATTTTATTCATTTTTGTTCAAAAAAATGAAAATGAAGAAACAAAGAATGAAACATTACAGAACAGACCTATCACGAAGTAGTTGAATACAATTTCTTGCTTCCAAGAACACACAAAACTCTACAAAAAGTGGTGGGGAAGTGGTAGCAAATGATATGTATTTTCCTTCACTCTGAACCAAAAAGAGAACAAAATTTATCAGTTTGGTATAACAGTTTGCTTGGTATGCAAGGTTTCCCCCAACTCCCATGGTATCAACTTCTACCCCTCAAACTAACTCTGCTAGAAGTGGGTCACCTTCTGCCATGATTCTCACCAACTTAATGAAATCCTGTTCATTTGATACATTCCACGGATGAACAGCAGGCACCTGAACAGAGTAAATAGTTGATGAATTTGTAGCTGCTGGTTTTTCTCTGTAGCTCATTGTATTCAATACCGGATCGAAGTTCTGAATCAAATCCATGGCCGTAAAGAACAAGGGGATTGCAACCTTGTGATGGATTTCTAAATCACCCACTAAACCATGAAGGTCAAGAAAGTCTGCAACGAAGCGCCGAGGAACGTAAAAGACCTCGGAACTGCATATCGTGACGCTCTTCTCACTCTCTACAGACTGCTTATGACTCACCTGGAAATGAACAGGCATCATGCTAACTATCTTCTTTACCATGCTTGATTGTTTCGTAAACCAATCAGAACTTTCAGCTGACATAGTAGTCCAAGATTTGGGCACCTGATTTCATTAACATAATGAGATTCTAGGATGAAGCTTTATAAAAGGTTTCAGATTTTTAGTCAGCCAATTCCCACAAGGATCAACAAGCATTTAAGCAGTTAAAACATTGGTTTGTGTGTTAAGATATTTCCTCCTAAAGTTTTCTTATTTTCTACTAATTGACCAGCAAATGCAAATAAAGAATCACGGGCTAAAACACAATAATTCAGCTGAATCTAGCTGAAATGGTGTACCTTGTCTGTTATCCACAGTTTCGATTTGTCCGCCTGTAGCAGATTCCAGTAGTTAAGAATCGTATCGTCTTGCAGGAATAAAAACCCTTCTGCGCCACTATACGCGTCGAAAACCTTGGGAAGGTACCTAAAGACATGTTTAACAACATAGTTAGAAGAACATGTGATTTCGACAGTTCCAATCGTGATACCGAATGACATAACCAGGTAAAAGAAAAACAAAGCGTTCGGCCACTTTTTCAATGAACTAAGAGCAATTCTTTGGTCATCCCAAAATCGAACGCAAACTATAAGCCTCTTTCTGAACTCGGAAGGCTGAGCTAAGATATGGTGAACGTCCCATGTTACCATTTTCGTAAAACCCTAATCATTTACATTCTAGGCAGAAAACAATACACAGAGAAGAGAACTCAAATTCTTGTCTATCTACCAAATTACTATTTACATAGGCATCAAAAACTCACACAAACTCGTTAATCGTGTTCTTGAAAAAGTGACTTACTTGTATGCATGGTCCAATCTGCCTTCTTCCACTACAAGATCTGAATTCTTGGTCTCTGAAAGAATTATGACCGTCTTGAATATCCTCCCATATAGCAACCTCCATTCCAGGGCGGTTCGTTCAACAGGGCCCTTACAAAACAAGATCAGCACAACATTTCCAAAAAACTTTCTCCATCTTATCAAGTTCCCTATCTCATTAGTCACTGTCCCAGTTTCCTCAACACCTAGGTGTATGGATGGTAATTTCTGTGGAATAAACTCCTTCCGATCCCCATCACCAATAGTTGCTCGTGGACGATCCAACTCCAGGGACATTAGCCTTGGCTGCTGGTACCCAACAGCGATTAAATCTTGTAGCCAAGCTGCTGTAAACTTCACATCCTTCTCAGTCCAAAACCCTTCCTCTGCCATTACAAAGCTCAACTCCAAAATCTTCTCAAACAGCCTATGTTTACTCGATCTCCATGAATTCAAAAACTTGACCAAACGACCCACGTTCACATGTAAATCTCTTTCTTCCGAAAACGGGTATGCTTCAATCTTGTCGTATCGGTGAATGGTTGGTGGATACACTACAACATGGCCACCAATTTCCCACAAGAGCCTCTGGCCCCAATATCCTCTCAAGATATCAGAAGCCATTGTGCTAATGGAAACAGGAAGCATTAAAGCCCAGAAGGCTGAGGTATGATAAAGTGTATTGAAGGAGTTGATAGGAACCATCATACCCTGAGGCAATGCCAGTTTTGGAGCACGTTCATCGAATCTAATATCAAAAGCTTCCAATCCAGATTTTCTAGTGAAGTAAAATACCGAATCAACATCAGGAAGGCCATTGGAAATTCCCTGTTGAATGAACTGCTTTCCCCCAAAAATTTCAGTGTAAAATTCTTCATGAGCAATTTCACCAACATTTTCCAGTGGCAAGCCCCTAGGCCACACTGATCTTTGCCCAAAATGAATATAGGGATTAACAACAGTTCTATTGGGATTTTCATGGCTATACTGTAATATGATCTCCTGCCTCGCTCCCTCTCCCACCAATTCTACGTCGAAATGTTTACCTAGATCTCCATCAATCACCTCCCCTCGATCATCCACATCGAAGATCTTCTTCGCGCCATGTTGAATTGCGAAGAGATACCCAACAGTTTTCCTCACGAAAGAATCATACGGAAGAAATTCGACCACACGAAACCCTAAATTAGACTGTTCTTCTAAGGAGAGATAAATCGTACCTTTAAGAACCCAATCCGACGGCGTCAGAGAATTTCCGATCGCCAACACCTGCCAACCCTTCATTTTCACAAGCTTCCGTAGTGAATCACTGGGATAATTAGACACCGAGACGACGATCCATTGCTCGGAGCGAAATTCCGGATACAGAGAAGACTTAGCTGGGATCGACGCGATCGAATTCCAATCGATTTTAGGGAATTGAATCTTCTCCAAGGCCGCCGTCTGCGATTGGAAGCAGAGAAGGGCGGCGGTATCCCCGACATTGCGGAGGAAAAAGAGGGCGGCAACGGTGACAATCAGGAGTAAAATCGTGACTACTTTATAGAGATTTTCAGATAGCCAAGTGGAGAAATCAAGGCTTTTAGATTTGGAGAAACGATACGAGTGGAGAGTAGGCAGAGTTCTGATCTGGGTTTTGGGGGATTCAGGCGTTGAACGCTCCTGAACCAACATTGGATCCGAGAAATCAAGAACACAGCCACACAGTACACTGTCGTTCCAGGATTATCAGAAGGGTCTCCAATGGCTTCCGTGGAGATCCCGCGAAATGGGGTTTCTTCTTCTTCTTCTTCTTGGAAGAACGTGTTGGTGTGGGATTGTGATTGTTGCAGAGCAGAGGAGAGTCTGCAATGGAAATTCAAATTCTCTGTGCGTTGTACTCTGAAAGCAGTGGTTGCCGACAAGCATATTGCGGATTTCTTCAGCTTCGATTCTAACAACTCTGCGTTCAAGTTTGGTGGGAAGGGACTCTCACTCCCTCGTACTCAACTCCACCCATCTTAATCTTTTATTTTCACTTTCGTCCTTCTAATATTCAAATTTACCATTTGATCCTCCTAACCTAATTGAACCTAATTTCAGTTGATTGGGTGGGTGAAATTAATTTCAGTTAAATGAACCCGACTCCCCGCAATGGTATGATATTGTCTATTTTTATGGCTCTCATGGCTTCGGGCTTCCCAATCATTCCATGATCATTTCCTAAATTAACCAATGTGGGACTTTCATCCAACATGTCTTTGTTCGATATTTGAGAATTCTATTTACATAGCTAAGTTTAGGGCATGACTCTGATATCATGTTAAACGAACACAACTCTCCACAATTATATGATATTGTCTACTTTGAGCATACGCTCTCATGACTTTGCTTTGAACTTTCCCAAAAAGCCTCACTCCAATGGGATAGTATTTCTCGATTACAAACTCATAATCATTCCCTAAATTAGTGAATGTGAGATTTTCATCCAACAAACTTAATAGAGTTTCCTATCCAACCTAACTTAACTCTTTATTTTTTAAAAAATCCACAATACATATTAAATTGATAACTAAAATTTTATAAAATTAAAAAATTCACAATACATATAAAATTCAAATATCAAAGTTAAATATTCTTAATTTCTTAAAAGTAAGATTGGGTTGGGTTAACAATCACTCACAAACTAAACTAAATTTCTTCAGTTTTCTAAAAATTCAACCCAACCAACATTCGAAAAAATCTAACATAATCAAACTATTATGGGTTGGGTTGACACATTTTTTTTAGAAACTTAGAGAGGGTAGAAGAAGAATATATATATATATATTTATTTATTTATTTATTTATATTTTAAATATTCTATTTGAGTCTATAAATTATACATAAAAAAAAATTGTAAAATGTTAAAATACTGGTAAAAAAGTGGAAATATATTTTAAAGCTAAACATTATTATAATATGGTTGAATTAGTTGGTTAGCATATTTATATATACACGTGGCACATGATTAAAATTGCAACTTTTATACCTTTTGATTTTTGTATGGTAATCTAAATTTTGTTCACCAACTAATTATTTCATTTTTCAACTTACATCCTGCTCTATATTTATTAGTTATTAAATATTAAGCTCTAAATAATAATTTTAAATTTATCCTTGAGATATGATATTAAAAATTAAATTCAAAAAATAAGTGAAAAGGAAATAACGGATTTGGGTTTATATTTATATTTTAACACTGGAATATTCTTACCTTTGGTTAAAAAGAAAACTACGTGTCCTTCCCATATTTTCTGACAAAAAGAACAGTGGGGTCCACATTGAGTTCAAAATCAAATTTTACTTCAATAATCTCATACTCTAAATTGAAAATCCATATATATTCAACCGTAATCAAGACAATTAATCCAAATTTAATTTAATAGAGATAAAAGAATCTAACCTGGGTAAAACTCAAACATAGGTATATGTAGAAAATTATCTTAACTTAGTTTACTAAATCTCGAATGATTTTAGGGTCATGAAGCGAACAAATATGAGACTACACGTCTTTCCAGTCAGTCAAGAAGAAAATAATGCATATGAGACTCCCCGTCTTTCTAATCAGTCAAGAAGAAAATAATGCATATGAGACTCCCCGTCTTTCTAATCAGTCAAGAAGAAAATAATGCATATGAGACTACCCGTCTTTCCAATTGGTCAAGAAGAAAGAAAGGAGGGTGTAAATTGATATTGCTTATCTAAAATCCATAGTTACTATCAATCACCCTAGAGATGTACAAGGAAGTAGTGATTCTGTGCAAAACCTAAAGCATGGATTCAAATGTAGATGATTATGTGTAAAAGCAAAAGCATGGATTCAAAATTCATATGTCAGGTTATTTCCTCCTTTCACAGATACCAAACTTTCAACAAAAACAGTAGCATGAAACCTTTCGTGCCCTTTTATAGGAAGCTTTCTGAACTGTTGGGTTCGAGTATTGTACAAAATCACTTGCCCTCCATTGGCTTCCATCAAGAGTTCATGAGAACCCACAAACACCAATGGCTTCTCAATTCCATAAAGGGGCCCAATTGTGAGCAGTTTTGACCATGAAACCCCACCAGATTCATCATTCTCCATCCCCCAGAGGTCGAACTCTCTTCCATTCCCATTCCATGGATAATGAAATAGAACAATCGATCCATTCAAAACCCCCATACTTCTATACGCTTCGCACTTCCCCTTTAGACTCTTTGGCATCGGAATTGGCCTGAAAACCTCCTCGCTCATGTCAAATGACTGTATAATTTCTGCCCTTCCTTCTATCTTTGCATTTGCCCACCAATAATATGTTCCTTCGTGATACATCTCAAAGCAAGGCGTCCCGAATACTTTGCCACAAATAGGGGTCTGAATTCCACTCCATCTATCAGGGGTCTGAATTTCTCTCCATTTATCTTTACTCAAATCATAAACTTCCACTCTAGAAGGGTGAAAATAGCAAGGTAGTTCCACAAAATCCACAACCCTAACCACTTTAAAATCCCTAGATTTCGAATCGTACCCGAATCCGACTGCATTCGTGAACGAAGTGATCCTGATGAACTCATCCAGGGGTTCAGTGAGGAGAATCGACCGCGGTAGTTTTTGAAACTCTCTGGTGGCTGGATTGCAAAGGAAAATGTCCTTACGAAGATCAGTGAGGCAGAGTAAACCGTGAGAATGGCCACGGATTTCGAAATATCGAAAATCCTCATCGAATGGCAAATCGAGATCGTAAACCAGCACAGATCCATCGAAGGGAAGGGAAAATTTGAGGAAGGAGAAGACATTTTGCTGATTGCCAGAGTTCTTCGTAACAAAACGCTTGAGAAGAATGTGCTTCTGCTGATGAAGAGAATTGCAGAAACATTTGGTTGCGAAATTAGGGTCGTTGATTAGAGCATACCAGGATTTTCGAACGGTCTTGAATCGAAGCAGAGACTCCAGCGGAAGCCTGGAGAGAATCTCGATCATCACTTCTTCAGGCAGATGCCCCAGAGCCGCCATTGGAGAGAGTTTGGGAAAGCTCCTTCAAGATTTCTGAAGGTAATAAAGACGGAAAATCAAACGGATGACTTCGTTGTTAAGGGAGGGGGAAATATTGGGTGCGGCCAAGACTAGAGCACTCGCGGCTTGCTGATTTACACGTGTCCAATTGCTGTTTATGATTTACACTCTGTTAAGGGAGGGGAAATATTGGGTGCGGCCAAGACTAGTGAAGCCCATTACCCATCTCTGATTCCATCAATTCATTGCATTCCCAATTACATCTCTCTGCTCCTTCTTCACCATCGAGGCTAACACAGAGAGCTCCATGGTCGTTCTTAGTAACACCTATCATCAGAGGCCTGCAGAAGGCGTGAACGGGAAATGGCCTACGCTATACTTAACAGAGCCTGAACAAGTGAAGATTGTTTTTCTCTTATCGATGATCAACGCAAAACATGCTGTTTTTCCGAATTCGTCACTCTTGATGGACCTAAATGGGCTAAACATCGAAAGATCAAACATCGAAAGATCATCAACCCCTGCATTTCATGTAGAGAAATTGAAGGTATTCATCTTCCTATCTATGATGATCTTTGCAAGGTATGTTTAAACGTTCTTCCAGAGTTGTAGTGAGATCAGTTAACAAATGAGACAAGTATGATACTTTGATTGAAGCCAAAATATTGCTATCCATGATTTTGCAGCAAAGTAAACATCACTATTCAACGTATTCTCATGCTCCGAGATTAACATCACTAGTTAACCACAATATGGGGCTTAACTCATCTTTCGTAAACTATAAGAGTTTTCAAAGGTTGTAACATCGTTAAAATTATGGAATAAAAGTGGATGCTACAAGTACTCATACTCGAGTACCACTATAAATATTATTGAAGTAAATATATTAAATGTACAAAAAATGATCTATATGAATCTTTTACCAAATAATTATATAATATGGTGGAAGATATTCAATTTAGTTTTTGGAGGAAGAAATGCATAAAGCCTAAGAGATCTAGATCCTAAATGATCCAAAGAAATCGATTAATCAATTTCAAGTACCATCATTGTTTCTTCGTAGGAACGTCTACGAATCTTCTTGATCTGATCCTTGATTTCACTCTTGAACCTTTACTGGCAAAAGCCGCCGGAATCCTCATTTTTTGTCTAATCAATTACAAAAAAGAATATGGGCAACAAAATGAAATTCATGAAACTAAAAAGGATAAATAAATTACAGTGAAAATTCAAATTTTGTGAAAAAGAAAAAGCATAACACCAAAAATTGTCCTTCTAAGTAACAGATCTCAACCAGGGAACAAAGAGTGTGGAGCCTTTCTCATTTAAGTAAACCAGTAATATACTCCCAGAATTGAAAGAAGATATTGATTTAAGTTTAAGCAGGAACCTTATTATCATGTTCTTCCAACAACAATGCCTTCACGGTAGGTTTCGCCAATAGATCTGTGTACTCTTGGAATGGGGATTTTGTGAAACGTGTTTCCCTCCAAAATTCAGGTGTTAAGAAGCCGCAAGTTTTCAGCAGACAGTCAAAGGTTGCCTGAAATGCCAATGAAGATGAAGAAATATGACCCACATGAAATCAAATACCACTTGGTAAACAACAAAACTCTCATTAACAACAAGAAAATAGCTACAACTCCATTTTGGTCCGTTACATATCGCCTGTAGCCTCACAATTATAAAACGTGTTTGTTAAATAGAGGTTTCCACATCCTTCTAAGTAATGCCTCTCCAACCAATGTGGGATCTCACAATCCACTCCCATAGTGGCCCAGTGTCCTTGCTAGCACACCGCTCGGTGTCTAGCTTTGATGCCATTTATGACAGCCCAAACGTACCGCTAGTAGATATTGTTCACTTAGGCTTATTACGTATCACCGTCAACCTCACAATTTTCTAAAACACGTCTACTAGGTTGAGGTTCCCACACTTTTATAAGAATGATTATGTAGTGTGGAATTCCACTGTTATGAGCAACCAACAATGATACAACATATAGATAATCGGAGAACATTACTGCATAAAGAGCTTCAAACGACCCCTACTGAAATTGAAATCAAACAACCCATCTAGAAACCCATCATCAACTGATTAAGGATTGAATAGTACCTTAATCAATGACTAACAACACAACGACAACACAAAAAAGAGATATATCAGACATAAAATTGCAGAGTCATCTTGACGCAGGACACAAAAATGTAACAAAGAATGCAACGTAGCTTAATAATGCAAGCCCACAGAAACATTTCAGCTAGGCTGCAAAATTTTAAGGTCGAAAACAGCACACACTATAGCAAAACTTAGCCATCTAATTGTTAGTGTTCATAATGATGAAGCGCACCAAAAGTCGAAATCAACGTATTTTTAGTAGAACAAAGCCAAAATCTAAGTTATGAGAATAGAGTAACCATTTAAGTTAGACCAAACCTTAACAAAGTTGCCGAGAGTTTTAGTCGATCCCCTAGAAGATGTAAACACGTCCTCGATACCAGCGAACTGCAAGACCTTCTTGGGAACTCGAGCTGCCACAATCCCAGCACCTCGTGGCGCCGGAACCATCCGTACGGTGACGGATCCACACTTTCCAGTAACCTTACACGGCACTGTGTGAGGCTTACCAATCTTGTTACCCCAATACCCTCTTCTCACAGGGATCACAGACAACTTAGCCAAAATAATGGAACCGCGAATCGCTGTGGCAACTTCTTTACTACACTTTACTCCCAAACCCACATGGCCATTACCATCGCCGACAACGACGAAAGCCTTGAAACGAGTTCTCTGTCCGGCGCGGGTCTGCTTCTGGACTGGCATTATCTTCATAACCTCGTCCTTGAGGCTAGGTCCAATGAGGGTATCGATGATCTGGTGCTCCTTTATGGGGAGAGAATGGAGATAAATCTGCTCCAAGGACTGGATCTTACCTTCTTTTACGAGGCGCCCTAGCTTCGACCAGCGCGACGGCGACCTCCGCGGCCGCGGTCACCTCCGCCGCGACCTCTGCCGCCGAAGCCTCGTCCAAATCCGCCTCGCTCCGCCATTGATAGGGAAACGGGGGGAAAGTTGGAGGAGTGAAAAGATGTGAGGTGTTTGACAAGAAATTGGCACAGTTGATGGAGAGACGAACTTGGTATGAAAGTGAAGGGTGTGGAAGGGAAATTAGTCATTAGACGATGCTAGAATAGGCTAGACTTTCTCCATAGTATACGCGTTTTTAAAACTGTGAGACTAACGTCGATATGTAAAGGGTCAAAACCGACAATATCTATTAGTAGTGAATTTTTGTTGTTACACTACCACCATTTTTTTTTTTCCAGTAGCTGAATCGTAAGAACTACCTGGTTAAGCATGTTTTCTCTAAAACAATTCTATACTCGGTGATATCCTATAATTTTGCTAGTGAAACATGTAAGTAAAAACTAAAACATGTGTACAATGGCTCGTGTTGGTTTATAAAGATAGTCCTTACTCTTAAAAAACGAGGAGTAAGTAACATAACATATCGCAATAAAAATGTCGAGACCATCCAGTGTCAAATCAACACCGTATTATTTAATGACATTAAATTTTCATAATTATGGATGGAATTAAAATATTTTATTTACCAATTTAACATCAATCAATTATCTCTCAATTTTAACCATTAATTTTTTTATTTAAAAAAAAAAAAGGTCATGTATACTCATTTTCAAGTCAAACGCTTATTCATTGACCATAATACTTAATAACGTAATAATTTTTATTAACACCTTAATACTTATTAAATATATTATTAAACATTCAAAATCTCCGATAAATATAAAAATTAAAATGGTCAAAATTCACAATTTTCCAATTTTACAATTAAATAATAGAAAAATGGTCGTAAAATATTCATAAAATAGTATAATTTAATTTTAAATATTAAGACTGACGTATATAAATTTATATAATTAAAAAAACAATTCATGACAATATAGCTAGAATAAAAAAGAACCCGTCAACATAAACTCGAACCTAAACCGTTACAAGTAAAAATGTAGATTTAAATAATTTTTTTAGACGAAATAATTGGATTAGAAATAAAAAAAATAATAATAAAATAAAAACAAAATGTATAGGAAGTTGAAGAGAAAATAAAGATCAAATGAGATAAATTAATTGTAAAGTTGCAAGAAAAACATGAACATTTGATAAATTAATATGATGGTGTTCTTATTGATTCAAAGCATATGAAATTCTCTCTCAACCAAACGGTGTACAGAGAAGAACAAGTCAGGCAGTTAAAAAACAGCAATATTGCAAGGTGTAGTCTACCCGCGCCAATGTACAATAATCCATTGATGAAAGAGAACAATGGAGCTTACTCTCCTACTTTCATGGAACATTCCCAATCCTCTTCGTCTTCCATGGACGATCAACTGCCAAAGAAAACATCCACCATTCAAATATCGAATTATTTCTTTAATCAACGCTCTCTCTTCTTCTCTTTCTCTCTCTCTCTCTCTCTCTCTTTTGATCTCATTTTTTCTTCACGAACACGATCTTGACCTCGTTAACGTTCGAAGAAAGTTCATGGCATCAATCTGACCTTTTCGCCTTTTTTTTTTTTTTCTTTCTTTATTCGATTGCCGTTTTCGTTCTCTTAGATAAGGCACATGGAAATCGTCTGTTGGCGTTGTCCTACATCCGTTTCGTTCTGTGAGGTTTCCAGAAGATTTCTCATGTTCTATTGTCGATTGCCCGCTTCATTGGCTCAGAAAACAGGTACCGTTTCGTAGTTTTGTTTTGGATTTTGTTTTCTTCTTGCTTGAGTTATGGTTTTGTGTTTGATAATTATGAAGTTTGAATGTCTCTGTAATCTCAACCAGATTGGAAAAGTGTTTGATATTATTGCTTAGAATCTCTCTTCGTATTTCTTTTCGTTTTATGGTGTTTGATAAAACTCAGAAACGATGCGCTGTCTTCAAATCCCTGACTTATATCTGTGATGTAATGTTTAAAAAATGGAGTGTATATTGAAGAATTTTGATGTGTTGCCTTAAAGA